ATTATATATTAAAAATTATTAATAAAATAAAAAAATAACCTAATTTCAGTTATGTCAATTATTAATAAGATAGAGATTTAAAATTTATAATTAACAAGAATATATGGCGGTTTGTTGGTTTGAGTATATAAATGATAAATAAGAACTATGGTTTATCTTTGTAAATTAAAATTATGGTTTAAGTTTAACAATTAAACGAGATTATATGTCGAAACTTGGTTTTTAAATTTACTAACTCACGTGATCATGATAAGTGTCAAGTATAAACATACGATGTTGCAACATGTTATATCTAATTTTGTTAATATTAAGATATAGATAGAATTTTTAAACAATACTAAAAGTAATTATAAAAAATTAAAGAGAATTTTTTAGAACTACCCCTTTTGGTGTACCCTTTTTCATAAATACCTCCTTTATCTAGAGAAATTGATACCAATAACCTTTTTATGATACCCTCTTTTTTTGTCATTTTCATTTTTGCCCTCTCTTAAATTTTAATGGTCATTTTACCCTTATTTGAAAGAATATTCTTTCCCAAATGAAGGAATATTTCTTCCAAAAAATTTTCCCCCACAAATTTCCCACCAAAAACCTTCCCGCCAAAATTTTCCCGCCAAAAAAAAATCCGAGAAAAATATTCCCGCCAAAAAAATTATTCAGAAAATAATTTTCCCGCCAAATTTTTTAAAGGGTTTACAAGGTTTTTGAAAGGGACTTTTAAAGGGTTTACAAGGATTTTTAAAGGGATTAACAAGAGTTTTTAAATGGTTTTTAAAAGATTTGTAATGGTTTTTAAAGGGTTTTAGAAGCCTACAAAGGTTTTTAAATGGTTTTAAATGATTTACAATGGTTTTTAAAAGTTTTTATAACAGTTTTAAAAAGATTTACAAGGATTTTTGAAGGTTTTTAAAAAGGATTTACAAGTGTTTTTAAAAGAATTTACAAGTGTATTTAAAGGCATAGAAAGATTTAAAAAATAGTTTAAAAGGATTTACAAGGGGTTTTAAAGGGTTTTAGAAGTTTACAAAGGTTTTTAAAGGGTTTACAAAAGTTTTTAAATGTATTACAAGTTCTTTAAAATGGTTTTTAAGGATTTACAAAGGTTTTTAAAGGGTTTTAGAAGTTTATAAAAGTTTTTCTTAAATGATTTATCACGGTTATAAGGATTTAAAAGGATTTACAAGTGTTTATAAATGTTATAAAATGATTAACAATGATTTTAAAAGGTTAACTCAAATTTTGAAAGGTTTTGGATGACTTTTAAAAGATTTACAAAGTTTTTTTAAGGATTTTTGAAGGGATTTAAAAATATTAACAAGGTTTTTAAAAAGATTTTTAAGGAATTGCGGAAAAATTTTGTCGGGAAATTTTTTTTGGCGGGAAATTTTTCGGAAGGAATATTCTTTTTGTTTGAATGAATATTCTTTTTGTTGGAAGGAATATTCTTTTTGTTGGAAAGAATATTCCTTTCTTCATCATGGGTTATAATAAAGGAGGGTAATTTAGTCTTTTTGTACATTAAAAAGGGTATTTTTGAAAATAGACACCTAGAGAGGGTACTTATAGAAAATGGTATAATAAAAAGGTTAGTTGTGCAAATCTCCCTTTATATGTATATCCATTTTCAAAAATATCCATGTTTAAATATGAAAAATTATAAAGTTTTATATGTTTTATAAGGTACTTATATATAATAACTACTACTTGGAAATTTGATACAAATATTTTATAATTTTTTAAAAGGTTTTAAATCGTTTTTACAAGTTTTATAAGGTTTTTAAGTGGTTTTTGAAAGGGTTAATAAGATTTTTAAAAGGTATTTATAAGTTATTTTACGCTATTTATGAAAGATATATAAAAATATTTAAACATATATAAAGGTAATTTGTGTGTATATTTATAAGTTTTCACACATATTTGGATAAATTTCAACATTTAAATAGGGTTTTTTAAAATAAAGTTTGAAATAGGGGTATTTTTAAAAAGTGGTATATATTTAGACACAAATTATCTTCCTATGTGTGTAAATTTAAATTCCATATAAAAACCTTTTAAAAATTATTTAAAAACAAAGAAAAACTTTTTAAACCTTATAAAAACCTTATAAAAGTCTTATAAATGTCGTTTAGAACCTTTTTAAAACTTTATAAATATTTGTATTGAGTCTCCCTATAGTAATGATGATCTAGATGTATCTTATAAACTATATGAAAGTTTACAATTTTTTATATTTGAAATGGGATATTTTTAGAATGGATAGAAAATTGGTGTATTATTAAAAAGGGGTACACCAAAAAGAGTATTTATCAAAAATTCTCTTTCAACTATTAACCTAATTTTTGGTTTTGCCAGTTGTAGGTTTTACAATTATAAGGGTTATATGTTGAGTTTATAAATCTTCATTAAAGTTTATATTTTATAATTAAACGAGATTATTTATCGGTTTGGGTTTCTTAAAGAGGAGTGAGATTTAGGTTTTACAATTAAACAAGGTTATTTATCAGTTTGGGTTCATAAATGAGAATTAGGATTTACAGTTTACAAATAAATTAGATTTTGAGTTTAACTAAATACATAATTTTATTCATGATTTTATTTTATAATATGTTATATTTGTTTGATTTTTAATTTATGTATGAATGTATTATGCCATTGAGTAATTTCATTGTCTAAAACATAAGGGTGAATAAAAGATTTTCGAAAATAATATTTTTAGCTTAAATTAAAGATAACAAAGTTTAATATAAATCGTCATATAGTAATTTTAAAATATTTGTAACGAAAATTTGTAATTTTTTATAATTCGTATTTGAAAGATTTTTAATTTTTTCCCCAATGATGCTATAATTTATTTTAGAATCTTTATGTTTATTTGCGTTGTTTATATGAATTTATTTAAAAATGACAATATTTGTATTTAACATCATACATTGATGTTAATTTGAAAGAACTTCACACATGTGATTCAAGATTGTTCCACACTTACGTCGTCTATTTAAATAAAACGCTCATCATCAAATGCACTACTACTAATTAAGGCCACAACTCTCACGTATTTTTCCCTGCATTTGCTTTTTAATCTTTTTGATGGATAAACGACATTTAATTTAGTTTTATCATGATAAGCTAATTGTCAAGGTACACTGTAAAAGGTACCCTTTGAATAATTGAAAACTCACATTTAAAAGGATTCATCTCTTTTTTTTTTAATTTAAAAGGATTCATTTTTTTAATATAAAACCAAATGATTCATTGAATTGTTTCTAGCAAATACGAGTGGGACGCGTGTAAGAGCAAGGAAAAGTTTTGTCGTATTTCATCAGACACCGCCATACTCTCTTCTCTTCTCCCTCACTTTTTCATTTTGTTTCATACACACATCTCAAAAACATAAAGACCAAAGAGAGAGAGAGAGAGAGAGAGAGAGAGAGAGAGAGAGATATTAAAAGGAAAAACCCTAAAAGACTCCGAAATCTCCAGCTACTGCCTTAATTAACCTCGTCCATGCCGATCTTTCACATCCTTCCGGTGCCTCAATCACCTCAAAGTATGGATCTTTTTAACCAAAAGTTTCTCATTTCCACCACTTCTCTTTTTTAAAAAAATGTTTGATCTTTGTCGACTGATATATACATTTCCCTGTTTCTGTTGTTTGTTTGTGTGTGTAGAAGGGTTTTACGCAGTGAACAATCCATACCAAGCGAGCGGACCAAAAGGGTTTACTGAGTTCAAGTATACGGAAGAGAACCGTGATCTGTACGTGAAGCTTGATTTCCCAGGAGTCACCAAAGAGAGTTTGGTCGTCCGTCTCGAACCATCGGAGAAAACTGTTATCGTCACCGGAGATGCACCCAAAGAGAGCCCACACGATTCTTCTCACCGCAAGTACGGAACCGCCACGGGACTCATCTGCGACTGCTGTGTTATCAGTAACATTGAGAGTTTCGTTGAAAACGGCGTCGTTAGACTCCTCCTCTCCAAGAAGAAGACTAATCTTCATCATACTCATACCTTTTGTACCTGTAAGTTCATTTACTATACTCTACCATCACTGGTGGGTATAACCCAGAAGGTACATGATTTTCTATCTATTATTCTCCGGTTAATTAATATCTATACTATACAATATAGATCCAGAGATGATGAGGATATGTCTCTTTAATTAGACCAATTAAGCCTCTTTTAGAAACCAGTCTTTGGTTGTTTTTAGTAAATAGTATCTGACATTATTCATGGGTTTGTGATTGATTTCCAATTTTTGCAGACGCAGCTGATGGCCGTCCTCTTGGTATGCATCTATACCATTCACGTTTGACTATACATACGTACCTTAATTTCCACCATTTTAATTTTCGTTCTTTGACTTGCTTTTAAATATCACACTTTTTTGTGTACTGAATCTTGCAGCTCATCTCAGTGGACTTAACCCAGCTGAAGGTATTATATTTCATTAGATATTATGATTCTCTCATCTTGATGATATATATTGATTAGCCTAAAGACATACAACTTGGTTGGTTAACATCATTAATTGTTTCATATCGTAGGTTGCCGTGGCATTGACCCTCTTGGTATGAACTTATTCCATCTCTGTATTTGTTTGATTAGTTATAATAGTATGAATCAATAGTGTATATATATCATATCAAATGCATAAAGAACGTGTTTTGTTTCTCGTATATCAATTACTCTATAGTGAAAACAAAAGACTTAGCTAGAGGGAGATGCTATATATATAATTGATAAAAGTTGTGTGTTACGTAAATGGACAGATCCGGCGTTCACGGGTCCGATCATAGTACCACACCCGTCAGTGTTGAAGGGATCCAAGAGCGCTTACGAGTTAAAGCAGCTCCCAAATGGTGGTCTGTTTCTGCGTATTGACATGCCTGGCGTCCCAAAAGACAGATTCTCGATGGTAGTGGACGGAGACGGTGTCGTCACCGTGGTTGGACGAGCTCCTGCGATCATGCATGACTCATGTGGGCGTAATTACGTAGGCAAGGTCGCCCTTGTCCCTAGAGGCTATGACGGCCGTCGGATCGAGATAAACGCCAAGCATGGTGTCGTCCGTCTCATTATCACTCCCTAGCTTTTGGAATTCACTTCATCGCATCTTAATATTATTATATCATATATGCTTTTGGAATAGTCTTGTTTAAAACAAATTGACCTTATGCACCTGTTTGTCTTTTCTTTTGAATTTCGGAATATTTCAAGAACACTAATTGATATGGACTTTAATATGCACCTAAGACGTTTTATGAAAATATTTATTCACTCGTATATTTTTTTAATCTCCTTCTGATACATTGTTTCTGCAGTTAGACTAATAACTTTAATGTAAACCTATGGACTAAGAAATTTTAATGTTAGAGGAATTACGACTTGCAAAACGAGTTAATTACTAATTTCCCGAAATAGTGATTATGTCTAATGTACACAAATTTCACGTCGATCGTAGTTAGTAATTGCTCTATTTCTGCCAATAAAGCAACATAATTAGAAAGTTATATAATTTCACAAAAGGAGGGCAGACAACACGTGTCAAACTAATATTGGTGAAAATAACAAATGTGAAAAGACACGTGTCCTATACCTGGTTTGTCGTGTCTTCCTCAGACTACTACTCACTGGCTCACTCCGTCTTGTTCCTTCCCTCCCATAAAGATAATCCCAAAACCCCAGAGAGAGAGAGAGAGATCTCTACAAACGAGAAGAAGCCCTAATCTTTAACTAGCTAGCTCGAAATCTGACCCAAAAAAAAACCTCACTCGACGACGTTGAATCATGGCGGCGCTCCCTGTTAGTGCCGTACCTCAATCTCCTGGTAAAATCTCACTTACATCTGCTCTTTTAGCCATCAAAGTTTCCATTTTTATGTTTTTTCCTGGACAAAGTTCTCATTTTTTTGGTTCCTTTGTTTATTGTTAATGGTTGCAGAAGGTTTTTACGCAGTCAACAACCAGTTTCTCGTAAGTGGGCCAAAAGGGTTAATGGAGTTTAAGATGCTTGAGAACGAAGACACCTACATTAGGTTTGATCTTCCCGGTGATCCAGAAAATGGTGTGATGTCTTTCATTGACGAGTCCAAAAAAACTATCACTATCTGTGCCTACGCACCAAAAGAGCACCGCCACGACGGCTCTCACCGGATCTACGGTACCTGCTTCAAACCGAAATTGAAGATCGGCCGTACGAAGACCCAACTCATCTGCAAATGCCACGATATCTCTAGCTTCACCTCCCACATGTCCGATGGTGTTCTCAGGCTTATCGCCACCAAGACCCACGCCGCTACACAATGCCCTTGCTTCTGTATGTATTTCTTTTTCTATCACACCCTTTATTTTGTTATTATTTAATTAAATACGATAAATCTAATGAATAACTGAAAATGTATTTGTTTTCTACAGTGATTCTTGACGGCGAAGGTAATAAATTTTTCTTACTCAATCAATTCGATCTGTTGTTTTCAATAACTTTCCATAATTTTGTAATATACTATGAACTTTTAAGTTTTAGTTTACTTAAAATGTTTACACTCTAGCTCTTTCAATTTTTTGTGGTCATAGGTAGCTGTGCCTGTGACGCGGACCCGGCTCATCGTAACTTTCTCCCTGGCATGGATCCTGAAGCTCAAAGTAATTATTCCATTTGCAAGCTTTATGTACATGAAATATTTAGAATTGTTATTGAAGTATTGATTAGTATATAGTGAGACTGGTTGTTCTTGTAGGGAATTTATTAATTTGTTGTTTATGTGTGGAGCAGACCCGACGTTATCTGGCCACACATTGATGCCACACGTGGGTGTGTATGAAGGATCGCCCATGGCGTATGAGTCGAAGCAGCTCCCAGACGGCAAACTTTACGTGCGTGTGGACATGCCTGGCGTTCCCAAAGAGAACTTTACTGTCTCTGTCACCAACGGGAGAGTTAAGGTGACTGGTGAAGCTCCTGCTCGTGACCACGACTCTGCTGGCCGTTTCTACTCTGGTGACGTGGCTGTGCTCTCTGCTCTTGTTGACATACCAAGCCGCCGTGTCAAAACCATCGCCAAGAACGGTGTGCTCCGCCTCCTCATCCCTCGCGTTTGATGATTTCATGATGAAACTTTTGTGCTTGTGTTTGGTTAAATTTGTCTTTTCTTGAATGGACCCTTGTTCCGTGATTGTGTCGTTGGTTTTGAGGATTTTGTCGATTTAATGTTTTATCAGTACTTTGGATATGTCTCAACGAGAAAACAAATTTGGATATGTTTCAACGACACAACTTATTTTGTCGCTGATGCCTCTATTGAATTGCAAAGCGTTTTTACAGAACTCTTTGAGTCTTGTCAATACATAACTCTCTGAGCAGGAAGCATTAATAAAGGATTCCACCAACAAACTCTCACTACAGATCCTTTCCACTTTTCTACACTTACCTATAGATAACAAAAGGGCTTTTAAAATGTCACCTCTGAACCTCTGCATCAACATTGCTTTCATCTTCTTTGACATCCTTGTGATTTGACCTGCAAGAATTTCACAAACTAGTTTGAGCATTCATTTACATTCTTCTTCTCATAACTAAACGAGTTCTCTAATGGGATTTCAGCTACTAAAACAGTCTTCTAACCCAACGTTGAAACAAGTTAATACTGATGTCTAAAGTTCATTTTGAAAGACTGATGTATCACAGTAGCACAAATACGGTGAAACAAGTGGTGACGATCATAAGATTATATATACACATTCACCAAAGATAAAGACCATTTTAAGTCTCTTTGCCTATAAGACGCACTCTGAACTATATCTAACATGATTTCATCAGTACAGATGCAATAGCCAGGTTCACAATCTTGTACACTTTTTAAGCAGGAAGCAATAAACTATCACCAAGTTCAGTTCACATCCTATCCACCTTTTATATCTGTTGAGGCATCTATACACACCTATTCAATTTTACATTCATTGCATGATGATAATACATTTGCTGTGCCTGTTCCAATTGGAACCAATGGAATTATTAGCTACCAATGTCCGCTTTGCATCCGTGAAATGGTCTGATGACCTTGAAACAAAGACAAAGTCCAAGCATAACCAAGGAGATAGAATAATACATTGATAAATCGATGAGATAGGAGTCGATCAATTTTACCATTTTAGCAGTCCAAGCATTAGTAATGTCCCCCTTGAACCTGAATAACACCTTCAATTGGAGCCATAGGCTGCAAATCTTTATCATCTGAGGTTCTTTTTAGAGAAATGATGAGTCTTGGTTGTTGTTTTTATATACTAGTACGTAGTATTAGTATATATCCGTAGACTGTATCTGACATTTTTTCATGGAATCATGGGTCTGTGTTGTTGATTTCAATCGTTAATTGCAGTCGCAGGTGTGGCCACTGGCCATCATCGATCTCTAATTGGTATGTACCCATTATTTTTATAAACGTGGGTTGATTATAACTTCGTTATATTAATTGTTTCATGTCGTAGTAAGTCGCCGTGGCACTGACCCTCTCTTGGTATATATATATGACCATCTTCTCTTGACATAATTTCTCATATGCATGAACGTGCATGCTTTTCTCATATATATCTAATTTATCTATCAAACGACTTAATTAGAGAGGCTTGAGTTTACAACTTTCAACTTGCAATTTTCATGTTAGATACAAACTCAACCGAATATTCTTCATTACATAAGTACTTTACCATTTGAATTGGTTTTGGTAATAATTTTATATTTTTGAAAGAACAAAAAATTCACAAATGCAACACGTGTCCCCTTAGTGTTTTGTCTTGTCTTCACCAGAACACTCCTTCCCTCCCATAAAGCTACCAAAACCCTAAATATGCCAGAAGAAGAACCGCACACAGAGAGATCTCAAGAGAAAAAAAAAAACACTTCACTCAGCCGTTGAAATCATGGTCAGCCCTGTCGCTCTTGTTCCTCAATCTTCCGGTAACTAAAGATCTATCTCCAAATCTCACATATTATTTCAAAGTTTCCATTTTTGCTCTTTCTTTAATATAAATGGCTGATAAAAATCTCATCTTTCTTTGCTTTTTGTTTACTTGGTGTTCATGATTGATGGGTGCAGAGGGTTTTTACGCCATCAACAACCCATTTCTTGTGAGTGGTCCAAAAGGCTTCATCGAGTTCATGCCACTGGAGAACGATGATATGTACATGAGGTTTGATCTTCCCGGAGTTCCAAACAACGGCGTCAATGTCTATCTCGACAAGCCGAACAGAGCCGTTTGTATCTTGGGAGACGCACCAAAGGAGCACAAGTACGACGCCACACTCCGGAGCTACGACGGCACCACCCTTCGCCCCAAGCTCAGTATCCAAGGTATCAACTCCAAAATCGTCTGCAAATGCATTGACTTCTACTCCGGCTTCACTTCCCACGTCGCTGATGGAGTTCTCCGGCTTGTTCTCACCAAGATCCACAACACTACTCCTCGTCCTCCTTGCATCTGTATGTTATTATAAATAAAAACCTTAACTTTTTATTATTATTAATTTTGATTATATAAAAGATTAATCATATAGGATAATTATCTGATAATAGATGACTTTTGTATTCTACAGCGTTTATTGGTGGCCATGACGGAGAAGGTAATTGTATTTTTATTATTTAAATTTCTTATTTACATCCAGACAAGAAATTATATATAGTTTACAGATAGATATAATGTTTGAACTCTGTTTTTGTTTTTGATTTCCGGTAATAGATACCCATGGCTATGAATCGGCTGCTCACGTTATCCCCGCATCGGATCCTGATGGTATTCACATATCTATCTCTTCCTCTGTAAGCTTATGTTATACAGTACCAACATTAGTTTATTGTTAGTATCATATATAGACTTATATTGTGTATAGGAAAAGAGTGATTGGTCTGGTCTAATTACGAATATCTGTTGTTGTTGTTTGTGATGTATATGGTGGAGCAGACCCCAACTTAACTGGTCCGATATTGATGCCACATCCATGTGTGGGTCAAGGATCTCAGATGCCTTACGAGTCTAAGGTGCTCCAAAACGGTGGCTTGTTCGTCCGTGTAGACATGCCGGGGGTCCCCAAAGAGAACTTCACCGTCTCAGTTGCTGATGGAAGAGTCAAGGTGACTGGTGAAGCTCCTGCTCTAGGCCACGACTCAGCTGGCCGTTTCTACTCCGGTGATGTGGCTGTTCTCTCCAGTCGTGCTGTTGACCTTCCCGTCCGTAAGATCAAGACCATTGCCAAGAATGGTGTCATCCGTTTGATCATCCCTCCCGTTTGATGATGATTTCTTGGTGAAACTTTGTGTTTGGATCTGCGTTGCTAAATCTGTTTTCTTCTTTATTCGGGATAGTGTCGTTGTTTTAAGGATTATGTCAGTTTTATGTTTTAGTACTTTGGATATGTCTCAACGACAAAACATACTTGGTATTTGATGTTTAAAGACATAACTTATTTTGTCTAACGCACTGCCCTATAATCTTTATCATGAGTCTCTCTATGTACGTAGTTGTTTACCAGTTTCTAAGGTCACTATTGAATTGCAAAGGGTTTTACTTAGCTTTTGTCAAGGAATACAATTAAAGCTTCAAATATGAGTATCAAAATATAAGGAACACATGCACAACGTCTTCTTTGAGCGGGAAGCAATAATAGAGGATTCTTAACACTTTACTATATGTCTGAAGATTTTTCCTTATACACATCCATAGATAACAAAAGTGATTTATAAAAATGTGAAACAACCTTTGAGTCTTCTTTCTCTTCTTGTGATTTGATCACCGCCTGCAAGAAGTTCACAAACTAACTTGAGCATTCATTTATACTCTTCTTATCATAACTAAAGAGGTATGTAATGGGATTGCAGCTACCAAAACTGTTTTCTAACCCAATGTCAAAACAAACTAATACAGAGTTATAAAGTTGATTTGAAAGAATGATGTGTCACAATGGCTGCCATTGAATGGCACATATAATGTGTTGTCAGAAGTTCGTCGTCAAAGGGAATAGTTAGAAACATGGGTAATGTGGAAAGGTAATGGTTTGCTTCGATAAACCGTTTGGTTCAGACAAATTGAACCGAAATAACCAAGGGTCGGATTGAAATTAGAGTGCTGTACAGTATAGTACCAAGCACTTGATCCTCCACTATGATGAAACATTTACATTGGTGTCAAGATGCCTCACGTTTTGTTTAGTCTTTTTTTTTTTTGTCGTCTTTTTGTTTAGTCTTTTTGATTAATGTTATGTATTTTATATAATGTACGACTTTTGGCAGCTACCAAAAATCATTCGTGGGTAAAAACCACAAGGTATTAAATGATTATGTATGTCTTATATTGTTTTCCGGTTAATAGACGAGAGATGATGATATGTCTTATCATCCAATCGTTTGAGCTTCTTTTATACATTAACGTTTGACTATAGTATCCATCTGTTTGTCTTTTTCTTTTGGATTCCGGAATATTTATTTCAAGAACACTTATTAATTAATATGGACTTTAATACTGCATACACTCATACTTATTCTTTTATGCAAATAAATATTCACTCGTATGTTTATCTCCATCTAATGCATATGGTTAATAACTTAATATACATTGCTGGTAAAGGTAAAAGAAAACTCATGAGATTTCCTATATAAAAACTTGCAAATTTCATATAATTTACTCATAAATTACGTGGATAAGATAATACTTCATTAAATAACACTTTGCCATTCAAATTGGTTATGGTAATTGATTTATTTATTTTGGTCAAAATTGGTTATGGTAATCATACTATAATTTTATAACTAAAAACAAAAACACAAAATTCACAAACGTGACACGTGTACGCATTAATCTTTTTGTCCAGTCTTCTTCACCAGACAACTCCTTCCCTCCCATAAAGTTACCAAAAACCCTAAATGACACAGAAGAAGAACCCACAGAGAGATCTCAAACAGTTTAGTCACAACCCAAACTAGCTACTAGCTTAGAAAATCCCGGAGGAAAGCTTCACTCAGCCGTCGGATCATGGTCAGCCCTGTTACTCTTGCTCCTCAGTCTCCGGGTAAACTAAATTAAAGATCTTCTCACATTTATCAATATCATTTCCTTTAATTTTTTGGAAAAAAATCTCATTCTTTTTTTTTTGGCTTTTTGTTGTTGTTGTTTGGTATTGATGATTGATGGGGGTGCAGAGGGGTTTTACGCCATCAACAACCCATTTCTTGTGAGTGGTCCAAAAGGCTTCATCGAGTTCATGCCACTGGAGAGTGATGACATGTACATAAGGGTCGATCTCCCGGGAGTTCCAAACAACGGCGTCGATGTCTTCCTCGACCTGCCAAACAAAACCGTGTGTATCTCTGGGGACGCACCCAAGGAGCACAAGCACGACGCCACACTCCGAAGCTACGACGGCACCGCCCTTCGTCCCAAGCTTAGTATCTTTGGTGAAAAGTCCAAAATCGTCTGCAGATGCACTGAGTTCTACTCCGCCTTCACTTCCCACATGGCTGATGGAGTTCTCCGCCTTGTTCTCACCAAGATCCACACCGATACTCCACCCCCTCCTTGCCTCGGTATATTATTATTCAAAAAAAACCTTAAACTTTATGTAATCATTAATTTGATTGTAATTTAAAATATTCATTGCATAATTATCTGACTACACATTAATTTGTTGTTTTCTACAGAGTTTCTTGCTACCCCTAACGGACAAAGTAAGTCTTTATTTTTATTATTGCATCCACAATAAATATAGATTTAATGTTTACACTCACTGTTTTAAAAAATTTTCCGGTCACAGAGCCATATGGCACGGCTCCTCACCGTTGTCCGCCATCGGATCCTAATGGTATTCACATATTTTCCCCCTCTGCAAGCATATGTTATACATAACAGAAGTGTTTTATTATTTGTATTATAAATAGACTTAGAGGAGAAGAGTGTTTGGTCTGATCTAATAAATTAGGATTTTTACTGTTGTTATTGTTAATTTGTGATCTATGTGGAGCAGACCCCAAGTTAACTGGTCCGATATTGAAGCCACATCCATGTGTGTGTCAAGGATCTCAGATGCCTTACGAGTATAAGGTGCTCCAAAACGGTGGCTTGTTCGTCCGTGTAGACATGCCGGGTGTCGCCAAAGAGAACTTCACCGTCTCAGTCGCTAATGGGAGAGTCAAGGTGACTGGTGAAGCTCCTGCCCTTAGCCATGACTCAAGTGGACGTTTCTACTCTGGTGACGTGGCTATGCTCTCTACCCTTATCGACATTCCCGTCCGTAAGATCAAGACCATTGCCAAGAGCGGTGTGATCCGTTTGATCATCCCTCCCGTTTGATGATGATTTCGTGGTGTAACTTTGTGTTTGGGTCTTTATTGAATCTGCTTTTTTTTGTTTTCCTTGAGTAGGACCTTTTATTTATTCGGGATACTGTTGTTGTTTCAAGGACTATGTCAGTTGTAAGAGCAACATTATCAAGGAGATCTTAATTTTTAATCTTAAGATTAATTTATTATTAAATTTGAAAAAGTAATGGTTAAGAGTTGTATTTTTGTTTTTAGTTTTGAGATGTCTTTATTGGTAGAATCTTAAGTTAGGGATCTTAGGAAAAAATAATTTTTTTTTAAAATTAAATAAATTTAAATTTGTAATTTTAGAAAATTTTATAATTATTGCAAATTTATCATTTTAAAACATACATGAGATACAATTTATAACATAAATAACATAAAAGCATAATAGTTTTAAACTTGATTTCTAGAAAATTTAATAGTTCTTTTGTATATTTGAGAATGAGTAAAAAACAACCTATCTTAAAATTTTTGTCAAATGTTTATTAGACGTTCCAAGAGTCTTAAGAAACCAAATTAGACTATAACTTTTTTAATAAAACTTTTATCTTGGATAGTATTGGTAGGTTGATACATGCATAGGCATAACAAGAAAAACATTTACAAAAAGTTAAGACAATCTAAAATACAATAAATTAAAAGCTTCCAAATAGTTCCAATTTTTTAATTTTTTTAATTAAAATATTAAAACATGAAACAATAAAATATATTTTCGAAATAAATTAAAAGAAAAATGTTAAATAAGAACACATAACACAAAAAAAAAGCATTCCACCACTCGTCTATTGACACATGTCGTATCTTAGCCACAATTTTAGATCTTAAATAAGATCTAGATCTTAGCATAAATCATCATTTACCATTTAAATTAAATCAAAAAGTACTCAATATTAAATTAAGAATGAGCTAAGATCCGATTGATAATGTTGGTCTAATGTTTTAAGCTTTTATTGTTTTGTGTTACTTTGGGCAGATCTGGAATAATTTTCTTAGAAACTTGCTACTTTCGACTTCATTAACTAGTAATTATTGATTGCTTTATACACAATAGTTATTAACAAATCATAAATGCCTACTGTTTGCTGATGAAGCAACCTGTATTATTGAAAGCTGTTTCACAAAAAGATGAAAAACGTGTAAAACTATTATTGGTGCAAATCACAAACGTAAAAGAGACACGTGGCCATAATGTTTTGTCGTGTTTTCTCCTGACAACTCCGTCTTGTTCCTTCCTCGTTGCCTTCCCTCCCATAAAGTGATCCCATAAGCCATAAATGCCAAAACCCAAATAGAGAGAGATCTCTACAAATGAGAAGAAACCCTAATCCCTAAAGGTACAGCTTTCTAGAAATCTCACAAAAACACTTCACTCGCCGTTGAATCATGGTCGTCCCTCTTAGTTCTATTCCTCCATCTCGCGGTAAGATCTTCCAAAACCAGTCTCAAATTTCACTTACATGGTTACATATACCCATCAAAGTTCCGTCTTTTATTTATCAAACTTTTTTTTTTGTTGGTGTTGATGCGTGCAGAGGGATTTTACGCAATAAACAACCAGTTTCTAGCAAATGGACCAAAAGGGTTTATGGAGTTTAAGATGTTGGAGAACGAAGACATGTTCGTTCGTATAGATTTTCCCGGAGTTCCAAAAGATGGTGTGAGGGTTTTTCTTGACCAGTCAAAGAAAGCTGTTTGTATCTTCGCCGACGCGCCAAAGGAACACAAATACGACTTCTCTGAAAGGAACTACGGTACAACCACCGGACTAATCTGCAGATGCTGTGCAATCTCCGGTTTCACTTCCCTCATGTCTGATGGTGTTCTTAGGCTTCTCCTCACCAAGACCAAAATCACTCCACAACGTTCCTCCTGCATTTGTATGTACCCTTCTTGTTTCTTTTTACTTGTTTAGTTTACTAGTCAGTCATAGGAAGCTTGTTTGGTGACATTAACTAATGGATTTGTGTTTTCTACAGCGTTTCTTGGTGGCCCAGATTTCAGAGAAGGTATTTTATTTGATCTGTCCTTTTCACCAAACTTTCTATTTTGATATATATACATCGCCTCTGAACATTACAAAGTCTTAATTTTTCCTTTCATTAACGTTTGAAAATGTTGTCTTCTCTCTATTTGTGGTCATAGATCTCCGTGGCGATGGTCCTCACAAATTCCCCCATGGCACAGATCCTCATGGTATTCACATACTATACCTACCTAAAAGCTTATGCTATACATATTTGTTGCATATCGTATAGTATTGTTTGGCTAGTCTAAATAATACGAATATTTCTTGTTGTTGCATGTGGTATATATGAGGAACAGACCCCAATTTATCCGGTAGGATATTGATGCCACACCCATGTGTGAACTACGGATCCGAGATGGCTTATGAGTCCAAGCAGCTTCAAAATGGTGGTCTATACGTGCGTGTAGACATGCCAGGCGTCCCCAAAGAGAACTTCACCGTCTTAGTCATAAATGGGAGAGTGAAGGTAACTGGTGAAGCTCCTGCCCTTAGCCATGACTCAAGTGGACGTTTCTACTCTGGTGACGTGGCTATGCTCTCTACCCTTATCGACATTCCCGTCCGTAAGATCAAGACCATTGCTAAGAACGGTGTGATCCGTTTGATCATCCCTCCCGTTTGATTCCATGATGATGATCAAGCGATGTTTTTCCGTTTCTTTAACTTCGTGACCTCTTGTGGACTTCTTCTTTAGATACATATTATGGTCATTGTTTTGAGCTAGCTTATGTTTTTTCTGAACTTGGATATTTATATCTCGTCAAAAAAAAAAGACTAATCCGTGTCTAATTTTAACTTTACGTAGTACTCTTTATAATTCTCTAAACTGTTACCAATTCCCCAATTGGTCACTATTGATTTGCATCAGATAAAAATTAAAAAGTACTGCGAGATCGTCCAATCAACAATAATAACGTGTAGGATACTTTGGGATAGTTATTTTAGTGCTAGGATAAGATTGGACGGCTGTGATTTTCGTTCAATATATCAGCCGTCGGATAGTCAAACGGTCAAAAGAAAACATGCCATGTCAGCTGAGAAGTACCATCGCCAAGGACGGTGTGATTCGTCTCCTCATTCCTCCCGTTTGATGATTTCATGATGAAACTTTCGCGTTTCTGGATCTGTCTTTTCTAGAATGAACTCGTTTTCTGGGATTGTGTAGTTTGTTTTATGGATCATGTCGTTTTCTGTCTTATCAGTACTTTGGATAATGGATATGTCTCTACGACCCAACATATTTTGATATGTTTGAAAGACAAAACTTTGTCTTAACGCACTGTCTTTTACGAGTACTCTTATTTCTTATAATTAGCCAAAGGTCTCTGTTGAATTGCAAAGCATTTTTACAAAAATTTAGGGGACACAACTCTTTGAGCAGGAAGCAGTATAAAGAATTCCACTATCAAACTCACTACACATCCTTTCCACTTTTCTATCTGTAGAAACATCTCTATACACACATAGATAGACGACAAAAGGGCCATTGAATCTCAACATCAAGCCTCTGTGTCATCTTTGAACCACCTTTGAATCTCAACATCAAGTCTCTGTGTCATCTTTGTGATTTCATCACCGCCTGCAAGAGTTTCACAAAACTAATATTAGCAATCATCTATACTCTTCTTCTCAAAATTAAAACTTTGGTGTGCCTATTCAAGTAGAGACCAACAGGATTTTAGCAACCAAAACAATTTTTCTAACTTCGGGTATTAGTACTGAGATCAGTGATATGTTACAGTAGTAAAATAGCGTGTTTTCTGAAGTGGTTACAAGCCTAAAGTTTTCTAAATTAATCAATGTCACAGTAGTACACTCTCTGCCTGACACCCATTACTAACTCTGGTATGGATAATGAACTGTTGAAAAGGATATTCTAGTTTTTTACTATCAATAGGGGAAATGCCTAGGACAATGATTGGGACAAACAGCAGCTAGATACAAGAAAACTCTAACATTGGGTCCATACCAAATGCAAATTGTGTTGAAATCTACCACATTTCCAGTACAAGCTTAGAGAATAAGTAATACAAGACTAGCTGTGTAACTCATTGGGGACTGAAACCTTCAAGCTTCCGCAAAAATTATGACAGGAAAGTAGACTGTAATGTCTGCAAAATTTCTTAACCATCTACCATGTTTCTATCAGATTTTCTTTCCAATTTTCTATCTGTTTAAACATCCACATCCACATATTATTAGATGACAGCAAAACTGCCTTTGAATCTCCTACACAATTTCACATACTAATTACTTGAGCACTCAATGGAACCAATGGGATTATCAGCAACGAAAACAGTTCTCCACCCCAATGTTGAAACAAGTATATATACTCACATAGGTCCACCTTTCAGGGTGTAAATGCTATCATCAAACATTCAAAGTAACAAAAAACCATGCTTCACTAAACTTTAATATATACTATAGGCTAGAACCTTGTATATTATTGATTCCTAGATCTCCAGAATATATCACACTCCAATATTTCTATATACAAACTATGTACCATGGTTTTATCAGCACTAATAAAGATATGAATCAAGCAAAAGTTAATTCCTAAACAGTAAATACTATGCAAATCAACTAATCTCGAAGTGCGAAAACAGAACCACCAATGAAATCAAAAGACTCACCTCCGTGAAAAACCACCGTCTCTCTGGCTCTGTTTCATGAAAAGGGCTCTCTCTCTTTCCTTCTCAACCCTCTCCCTCTTCAACCTTTCTTCTCTCAGCTCCTTTAAGCTTTTCTTCCCACTATTCTTCTTCTTAGCTTCATGACCTCTATATCCACCATCATCCTCACCACGTACACTATCATCTTCATCATTACGTTTCTCAAGGTACCAAGGACGCTTCACACCTTTACCAGCAACCCCATATCCTAATCTATACTTCTCCTCATCTGGATCACCAGCTCTCGCTGCAGCATCCTTGGCAGAAGCTCTAGCAGTTGCAGCCGCTTCTTTCCTCATTTTTTTTCTTCTCTGATCTTCCTCCTCCGCAGGCTTATCGTTCTTTGGGATCTGAATCGGATCAAAGATCTTAATCCCTTCGAATAGATTTATATGACCCGTCTTAGGCTCCTCGGGTTCAACACTCTCCACAACAACAGCACTGGATTTAACACCAGCGGCCACCGCAACTGCCTCATCCTTACCCTTCTCTGCCTCCGGAGAAGCCCGTTTGAGAGGCGCTAAGCCACGGACGTTACGAAGCACCTCGAGACGAGACTCAGCATCTCGTTTCCTAGCTTCCTCGCGTTTGATCTGCTCTTCTCTAGCGGCAGCTTCTTCGTCCTTTCGGACTTTTTCTCGATTGTCAAAATTGTAAACGTTCCATCGCTTCTGTGGAAGAATGTTCAAACCACCGTGACCTCCCATGGCTGGCTAAAGCTCCCAACTTTGTTGAATTTGTGAGGTTCGAACCCTTAATCTAGCCAACAAAAAATTAAGCCCCAAAAAGATGAAAAATTGAAAACTGAAAATTGAATTGGAAAATTAGGTTAGCAACGCCGAGATAAAATTAAAAAACTTGATCGGATTTGAATTTTCGAATACTGAGGCCCATTTAGCCCATTACGTGATCTTTTCACAGCTATAGGCCCAATATGTATACATCTTGATGGTAGCTTCTGTCTTTTGTCTCCTCTGGATTTGAGGACCTCTGTTTTAGATTCTTGTTGAGAAAAATCTGTGGCACATTCAGGGTTGTAGTATAGAGTCCATGTCTTCAACCATTCACTGACATGTGTTTATACAAAAAGAAATAAACTGATATATAAACAAGGACAAGCACGTACCAGATTTAACAGAAGTAATCTTCAAATAGAGACATCAGAACAAAGTATCATTCACTATAAACTAATCAAAAATGATTAAGAAAGCATATCCAACAAGTTTATGTAAAATTGGCCATCAAATCACGTTTCTCATTTTAACATTAAAGATGAATACAAAAAATGTGTAACATGTTCAGATCAAAGCCAAAGAAGCTTTGTTGCTAATGATAGAAATGTGAATGACCTTCCATTAATTCTTTCACTCATCCTCCAATTGATGATCTTTTTAAGGCAAATACATCAAAACCAATCATGACCATTTTTCTACCATCCTATAAAGCAAAGCTAGCAAAAGGAGCAAAATATCAAGACAGAACCCACTTCTTGACTAGAAAAACCAGACCAAACATTAAAGCTATCATATTAGGCACCATTTTGAAGGTGGATGCATCAGCACTGTACACATTGCTTTGCATTTCCTATGATAAGTACAGTTGATGCATCGATTGTACAAGTTAAAATCTCACACTTCTTATTCTCTTGGTTCTTTTTACCTTATATACGTTCCAGAGTCTTTATCAATATTTTGTATGTAAAAAGTTAAAAACACGCATCGTATTTCACTAAACTGTAATGAAAGGCTTTTTCACAAACTGACTGTAATGAAAGGCTTTTTCACAAACTGAAAAAAATACTCTAAAGTCTAAACTACATAATTAATAAATTAGACAGAAAAATAAAAATAAAAGCTAAAGAGAATCAATATAAAAGCAAAAGAAACCTAACCTAAACTAGAAAAGAATTTAGCAACCTTGTGGACTTTAGAAGTCATCATCTTGTTTGCAGTTTGAACGGCATCCTCAACCCTTCCAGACTCAGCATATGCACGAATCATTGCGTTATAAGTTTCAACATCTGTATTCAAGACATCTTGTTTCAAAAATTCATCAAACACACTCTCAGCCTCGGACAGCCTCCCATTCTGACATAACCTTGTAATAAGGTTTCGGTATGCTCCCACAGGCAGCAAGTTGTACTTAACCTTTGCCTTGGCCTTGGTTAAGATGTTGACCGCATCGCTGAACCGTCCTTCCTCAAAACACTCGTCCACCATCATATTAAGAGTATCCCCATTGAACCGAAACCAGCAGCAGTGATTGTCAAGCATATACTCGAACAATGCCCAGGCCTGTGTTTTCTTGCCGTACTTGAGCAACAGTTTCAGATACACATTTCCCACAGTTGCATTAGCTGTCAGGCCGTCCTCGTTCAACGTAACCGAGCTCCTGTATAGATCCATAGCCTCCTCATCCTTGCCTTGCTTGAACAAATACTCCACGAATACTGATTCCACGACTGCGACTTCGTTGCGTATTGAACATGTCTTGAAGTCGTCCCGGAGCTGATAGGCCATGTCGAGATTCCCCTGTTCCAAGTAGCCACGAATAAGATTCATGTACATGCCTGGCTTTTGGAAATTGAACAAGTCAGCTCTTCCTTTCAACAAGAGATCTAGAGCTTGGTGCATTCTCCCGGCATCGAACAGGGCTTTGGTCAAGATGTCGTACGTGTTATGGTCCGGAGAAGGAGGGTTGGAGAGGAGGTGCTTGTAGAGTCCAAGAGCTTCGTCAAAGCGACCTTGCTCGCAGTGGGTTTTGATGATGAAGTTGCAGCAAGCGATGTCTGGCTTCAACTTGGATTTGTTGAAAAAGAAATCGAACAGATCCAAGGCGTCGCCGGACCGCCCAGCGTTGCACATGGCTCCGATAATTGCTTTGCTGGTAAATAAGGCTTCTTGAGGATACATCCTCTTCTTCGTCGCAGCTAAACGAGCGTGCTTGGCAGCAACGTCGAGATCCGAGATGTCATCGATCAGGAACCTGACTCGCCTAAGCAGTGATGATGGACCGCTAATGGTGGATCGTTGCTCCTGAGGAATAACCCTCCCAATAGGATACGGTTTTGGTGAAGACATCATCCTCTGGAGGAGGTAGCGGCGGCTGCTTGACATCGCCGGCGAAGACATTGTTAACCTTACTTTTTGGACACGCAAAGATATGTTATATGTAAAGGAACTTTGCGCCTCATATTAAACTCTTTAAGGCCCATTACGCGATATAGGGCCCAGTAAATCTGCTGTATAAAGTGAATTTTGGTATCGTCAACAAGAGAACAACAGGTGTTAAAAGATGAATTTTTATGCTCTCTGCTTCTTTGGAAACCTCTAAAGATAGTGAAATTATTGATCAAAGATTTTATATGGCATGAGGTTCGCTTTGAGGTACATGAATAATGTGATTCGATGAATACATTCACAATGCGTAATACAGTCAAGACAATGACATATATAATGCTTAGAGAAACTGTAGAAAACAAATCTGGAAACAGAAGCTATTGGCATATCTAAGATTGCGTATGTAGTTATGTTGTGACACCATTGTCTAAAGAAACCGAACCTTGAACAAAGGATTTGAAATGATATAAATTAGAAAATTCATGACACTGAACCTTGAAATGATCGCTGAGGGAAGCCATTCATTAATTCAAATGATCCACAGATTTATCAAAATCTAATATATTTAAAAAAAAAACCTAATTAGAATCCTCAATTTTGTTTTAGTCTTTCCAATTTCCAAACCAAACCAAACCAAGAGTAAAAACCCATGATGTGCTACCCTAACCCAATCTTACAATAAAATCCGGATCGAAGCGGTTAGAGAATTGGCAAAACCCGAGGAATGAACCAAATCAATCTCAATTGACATCGTCCTTGTTGTTGGGTTTGCGATAATTATCTTCGATGTGCTTGGCGATGACGAGACCAGTGTTGGTGAGCTTCTTTATATTGGGAACGTTGTAATTCTGGGCGACGTATACGCCATAACCAGTTCCCATCATGAACAAAAAGCAGGTCTTCCCTATCCCCATCCTCTCTACTCTCTCTCTACAGCTTCAGACCTTCTTCTTCCTCTTACTCTGACTTTCCAGGTTGTAAATTTCGATTTGATTCTTTGGGATTGTTTATGCAGACTGCAGAGAGCTCTGCTTTTGTATTTGGGCTGCTACATGTAATTCTAGTGGGCTGCTACATGTAATTTTAGTGGGCCTTTATCGGTAAGCTCTTGAGCTTTGGGTAATTAAGTTCAACATATATAGGTCAAGTTATTCATAGTTGACCAAAAGAAAAAAGGGTCAAGTTTGAGAAAATAAGGAATAAATTATGTCTAAGATAATTTATTGGCATATGACTCAAGTGTTGTTTTATCTTTCATGCATTTAAAAATTTATTTACTCTATCATATGAAGAAAATAAAATGCTAAAACATTCTACATCATGTGCAGTTACACCCAAAATTCGTTTAAACTAATTGTACATGTTGCTATGTAAAAGTTGTTATTGTTCAAATATTTTTTATTTATCATTTAATATGATTGGGAACGAGGATGCTATTTCAACGTAGACATTCTATAATCTAAAGTTCAAGATTTAGATTTTTTTTTTCTGCTCAGAAAAAGATTTTTATAGTTTAGTTTAAAGTATTTGTATCAGTTTTTGAAAACAAAATTTATGCTATTAATTTTAATATCATCCGTTTATTTGTAAGGCCCATAATTACTGCACTGGGCCCTTGACGAAAGTGGCTTAACGCTTACACGCGACATGCGTTTTTCCAGTTATTACCCTTCCGTACTCTTTACCTAGCACACAGTTTTAGGGGTAAAAGTGTCATATCGTTAGCAGTAACGTGATCCCGGCATATCCGGTTCTTCTTTATCCTTTTTTGGAGGAGTATCACGGTGCACTGCTCTATCGTACACCGTCAGCAATATGGACGGTTGATATTTCTAATCGAGTAATTATATACCGTCAGATTCTCGCTCATCAGAGCAGACAATACCACGTCAGCTGAAGTGTTTAGATGTTACCATAAACCATCTGCAGATAATTTCTTGCCTTATCACATACATTTTTAAATGCTTCGCAGAATTTTTGTAGGTTGCTTATTTGCTTTTTCTTTCCTATTCTTTCGTTAATTGTTGTTGTTGTTGTTGTTATCTTCAACGATAGCGTTGTGCTCTGAAGAAGTGTTTGATCGCAGGAAAAGCTTCGTTCTTTGTAATCTTCAGGTTTGATCATTGAGTTGTTACCTTTTTTTTGGTCTTATTGCGATCTTGTACTTCGTTTAGATTACTTAAAGGTTTGGTTTTTAAGTTGATCAATCGATCTAGGTTTGTCTGATACAAAAAGGGTTCTCTGGATTTCGTGTATTGTTTTGGGGATTTTAGATATTAGTAATCGGAATTTTTGTAAATCGTTTGGCTTGTGGAACATGATCGACTGATATTAGATAGATGAAATCTTGCGTTTAGTACTTAAATCTGAGTTCCAGAGTTTATATTTTGGGAATTGATGATTCGATTTTAAGTGTTGAATTTGTTTGTTGTTGGTTGTCTGATTGGCGTCACCTATGTCTTTTGTATGTTTAGGCGTGGAAGGAATGGCAAAAAGCTCGTTCAAGCAAGAGCATGACCTTGGTTTGGATCCTAATTTTTTTTTTCTTGATTTGGTGTTTCTTTGATTGTTGAAACCTTGCTTTGATCTAATATGATCCTGTCTTTTGAACTTTCAGAAAAGAGAAGGGCAGAAGCTGCTCGGATTAGAGAGAAGTATCCAGATAGAATTCCGGTGAGAGCTCAATATTGATTGATACATTACACATATCCAAAGTTTCCTGTCATTAGCATACTTTTCTCTTTTGTTTGCTCTGACCAGTTTTTTGTGTTTCACTGAGTTTTGTTGTGTTTCATGGACCAGCAATATGATAGGGTTGTCCTTTTTGTGGCTCTTTCCTTTCACAATTGTTTGTTTCTCTCTTGGCGATTATGAGCTTATCGTCTCTTTGCCTATTGTTTTGTAGATTGCATCTGGCTATAAATGTACACCCAACTAACATTATCAAGTTATTATTGTCTGATCAACTACATGCTTTTTACATATATGTTTGTACTGTATCAGCTACTACATGGAGCTGTTGTAGTGCCTATAACAACATTAGGACTTTGAATTTGTTTGTTCTTTTTTTTTTTTTGTTGAGAATGTGATATTCTGAATGTCAATTCTTATTTAGTGCTTACTTGGTCATCCTTACGGCTTAATAAGTGGCTTAATAAGCAGATTCATGTCGCTAAGTGCTTTATGCTTCATATGGTACAATGACACGTTTAGTGATGATCGCCACACATTTTTATTTTGGTGGGATTCAGGTGATTGTTGAGAAGGCTGAGAAGAGTGATATACCAACCATCGACAAGAAAAAGTAAGCATATTAAAAAGGGGATCAGTATCCTTTTCATTCGGACCTGACTTGTGATTGATGACTAAGCTTTTTCTGGTTATCAAATTTGCAGATACCTAGTCCCGGCTGATCTGACAGTGGGGCAATTTGTGTACGTCATTCGCAAAAGAATCAAACTGAGTGCAGAAAAGGCTATCTTCATATTTGTGGACAATGTTCTTCCCCCAACAGGTAAATAGATAGATCTCCTGTATTTATATCTAAGAGTTTCATCCTTGACACAAAGATCAAGAGCATGAAAACTGGAGATACAGTATGTACATGTTTTAAAAAATTCTGATCTGATAACTTTGCAGGTGCACTCATGTCTTCTGTGTACGAAGAGAAAAAGGATGATGATGGGTTCCTCTATGTCACTTACAGCGGAGAAAACACGTTTGGGTTTGCATCTCCATAGGATCTCTTGCTGGATATTTCGTTTTACCCATCTCTATTTCCCCGAATATTCATCCTCTTATTAATTATTAAGCAAGCCACCTATGTACTTCTTCTCTAAGGACCTTTGGTTGGGCGTCAATGTGTACAGTAAACATAAAATAATGTATATAGTATCCTTTCATAATAATATCTACTTGATAACCTACTTTGAGAACTTTCTATGAATCCATCTATCAATCTCATCTCTTCCTTGTTTTTTGATGTCTTCAATCTATGAGCCGACATCACATGTCGTGGGACATGACAGTCACAAATTGCAAAGGCCTATAAGAGTAGGAGTAGAGAAGGCAAGTAGTAATATGACCCAACTCAATAGAAGAGAAAGCACAAGGGGACTGTGCCACGTGGCAGACACGATCGGTACCGGTTGAGGTGTGGCCGGTGAAATGTTAGAAAGGTCCCCACATTGTCGTTGACGGAGAGACGGTCGGACCATGCTGCCTTGTTCTTCTTCTTATTTTACACTTTTCAGTATTGATTTTGTTCACAGTTTTTTTAGCTATCGATCATCTACGCATAGTTATGATCCTCAAAAGATTCTCTCATTCAAGGTCCCCAACCGGTCACGTGGAACATGAGATACTCTGGACGCGGTTGTGTTTTTCAGACTTTGGACCGTTGAAGTTAAAGTTGAATGTAAAACCTTCATAAGAGTGTTTTGTACAAAGACATCAATGTCAAATAGTGTCATGATAAGGTAGTGATCGATTAGGAGGACTTTGGAGAGTAACACGTCAAACTGTTCTGTAATAGTTGGGATCAAACAATAATGGCGCTGGTGAAAAGGGGAAGAACCGAAGAATAAGGTGAGCAAATGGAAAGAAAGGAAAATGAGAATGCATGAGATGATGACCCTACGAAGACTCTCTAGTAGACAAGAGGTTTGGCCGATCAAGACACCCATTGAGACATACGAATACGATAGACATGTATAGAAAAATGCAGAAATGAATGAAAACATATTTGAATAATAGACAAGAGAGACGATTAAAAGAGAGAGGAAATTAAAGAGAGAGGAACAAGAGCATGTTATGATAATGAAGGACCCCCCCCCCCCACCTGCATTCAATGTTTGTCTTACTCTCTTTACTCTCTTCTGCCTACAAATACTCCTTCCCTCTTCTCTTCTCTTACACCAATCAACACATTTCAAACTATATTTGTCCTGCTCTCATCTCCCTGTATACAGACACAGCATTTATACAAGTATCTGAAGAAGAAGAAAAAGAAAAAGAAGAAAGACGAAGAGAAGTCATGTCTTGCTCTGTGAGGAGTGGACTTGCGGTGGTGTTCTGTTTCATACTTCTGCTTTTGTCTTCTAATGTTGGATGCGTATCTTCTCGTCGTCTAGGGTCACATAAGCATCATCACAAGGCTGCTTCTTTGGTACAAAACATCCCCAATGGTGGAGGAAAGAGGAGGGTGTTGCGTGGAGTCGAGACAGGGGATGAAGTAGTGGTCATGGACTATCCTCAGCCTCATCGTAAGCCTCCCATCCACAACGAGAAGTCTTAAGTACCCGATCCATACCCATTTCTCTATATATCACACTTTTGTATGCATATGCATTCACCATGTTGGTGGTTGTAATGACTCTTGTGCTATCTATATATATATATATATATATATTCATGACCAACTTTGTTCTTTATATCTCCTTGTATACAAACTGACAAGGTGTATCCTTTTACTTACTATGTTACATATGGATGTGGGACAGAAGAACTGTTCAATATATGAGGTTGTAACTGAATTGTGATACTCCTTCATTAAGCTTTAACGAACGGTACAAGGGATCTCAAATACATCAACTAACAATAACCTATCTAACCATGAATCCATGATGTAACTTCTAACAGGCATCTTTACTGCCATTTAATTCCAAGTAGCATGAAACCAAAGTATCATTACAAAGAATACCAATTTATGTGAGAGGTACGAACCCTCGTTGAAGCTAAAATCTTGTGCTAAGTGTTACAAATTTGATAACAGGGAGAAAAGAAAATAGTGTTACAAATATTCTTGATTTCAGCTGCAAGGAACGATGAATGGTTTAACAAATTCCAGGAATTCAGATGTTCTGACACCAAGCTTCAGATCAATTTCTCCACCACCCAACCAGAAGAAGTCTGGCTTAAGTTTGCTTATGGCCTCATCCAATATCACCTGACGTTTTCCAAAGCCCCCGATCTAACTCGTCAGTATCAATATATCGGAAGTATATTTCAATTTCAAAGCACGATTAGTCTGAATATGCCATGGAAACTCTAAACATGATACTAAACAAGCATTTTATCCATCTCCCCACTAAATCAAACTCTCAACTCTACGGATACGTCAAAATAACAAGTCACTCAGCATACATTGAATTGGGAGCGAGGAATTCATCATAAAACACACAAGAATCCTAAGCAACATAAGTAATTACCCTAAAGAGAAAACCCATTTACATAATACTGAAGTCTAAATATGATTATGAAAGACTGATGTGTCACAGTAACATAAATAGTGTGTTGTCTGAAGTGGGCCACTTCCGGATAAGGAAAGGAAGATAAACACATCAATGCAGTAGGGTACGTGCCTAAGATTATATATACACAGACCAAAAATAACTCCATTTAAGTCTCTCGGCCTGACACACATTACTAACTCCGGTACTGGTAGTGCAAAGAAGATATTGAACTGTAAAAAACGTAATTTCTATCTTTTTTACTATCAATGGGGAAAGTACTAAAGACAATGAGTGGGACAATCAGCAGCTGGCTCAAAAGAAACTCTAACTTCTGCTGCGTATCAATGTTAATTGTCTTATAATGCACCACACCCTCCTGTACAGAGTAAGAGAAACAAACAAGACAAAACCTAGCTGTGTAACCTATTGGGCACTGAAACCTTTCGGGCCTCTAGGACAGGACAATAAACTGTAATGTCTGCAAAACGCTTGGCAAGAACATGTGTATGTAAGGAAAACTCTCTGTAAATATTTCTAAAACTCAAAATACAGCACGAAACAGTTTGTCTAGGAGAAGAAACACAAGTGGGTAGAGGTTCCTCTCATACTAGTCCTATGTCTAATATGTAATAAACAGTGTAGAGCAGCAATGAGCAAAACTCCAATACATTATTGGCAGAACATGTAAATAATGCAAGATGTAGAAAAGTCGGTCAGCTTCAATCAAACAAAGATCATAATTCTATCACGGAAATAACGGTGAGGAAACAAAACATACCGGTATGTTTGTCTTCATACCGATACAGGTTACCGCATTGTGCTCAAATCCTGTCAAGTTAATTGATGTCTCCTCAGGAGCAAGTCTCACTACACAGAGATTAGCACAAGCCTCAGCATATATAAGCAACATATAACCTTCAATATCTTAAGAGATTATAAAAATACAAAGCACTAACAGTTAAATCTTTTCTTTGGAATCCTTCCCTCATTTAGTGAATAAAGAAACTGCTTTACTGCTTCAGCATTGAATCTGGCAGTATACTGCCATATGAAAAGATAACCAAATGAATACGATGAAAGACGAAATAAAGGTGAAAATGCATTCAGCAGGAACCATGAGGAGCACCTGAACCACAACCACATAGTACTTTGAGTTGTTTCGATCACTGCAATCCACTATATTTGATGAAGCTTGAGTATTAACCTGTATTGGTGAACATTTAATGAGGAAACAAACACAAGCAGAAATAATTGCAACATGAAACTAGCTACTTCAATAGAGATCATACTGATTCTTGAGTCAATGTGTGTAGTTTCACATATCACATACTGATTCACGTAATGGATGATATCACAGTATAGTTCCATGACCTCTAAAACATAAGAAGTTCACTGAATACAATCGAAGTATTACCAGAACAATGCTCTTGCAGAGATGGTCGACTGAGGAAGCGCCAAGAACGTCGCGGCGGGATTCGAGAGGCCAGTCGTAGTAATCAGAAGCAACTCTCTTGAAGCAGAAGTCGTTAACGCCGCCGGAACGGAGAACTGAGGAGAGGCGAGCCACAGTTTCGTTTTCATCAACCGGTAGAGAAGGCGACGGAGCTGCCGAAGAACTCTGTGGGAGAAATGTGCTCTCGAGAACGGAGATTCTACGGAGGATTTCAATTTGGAGTCTTTCAAGCTCCGCCGCTGCAGCATCCATGCCTTCTCCGTCTTCCATTACGAATTCCCGATCGTCGCCGGCGCAGCCAGAGTTTCGTAGGTCGATTTCGTAATCACCTGTAATCATATCTATTGGTTACTAATATAATTTAATTATTTTAACAAGTAACCAGAACTAACCGGGATATTAACTAAAAATTACACTGTACCTGCCACTTGTCTACGTGGCTTTTAGATAGATTTTGTTTTGTTTGATTTCATATAACACTTGAGAATATTAATTGATTAAGGTCTTTTTTTCCCTCTCATAAATAAAAATCAATGTCTTGCTCCTTATCTTTGCGGTTGTGATTTGTTTAGATGATCGCTTTTTAAAGGTTTCTAACTAGACGTTATGGGACGTATCAGTCGTCGTCGTCGCATCTGGAGGTGTGTGGGAATTTCTATGTCTCTATATGAGTTCTCCTTGCTTGTCGGGTTATAAGGTCTTTGGTTCTCGAGAAATTGGTTCTCATTATGATAGAAGTTGGTAGATGTTATTACGGATTGGTCGAAAGCAATCGTGATAAATCGCATTTGTAGGTGTTTCAGAAGATGAGGCTTCTCTGTTTGTTTGTAGGTTTTTGCCTTGTTTGTTCGACTTTTCTTTTAAGAAATTGTACTCTTTTGTTATTGGTTTTGATCATTTCTGTCATGTAATTCTAATCCAGTTTATTTGGTCTCCCTGTCATAGAGTTTAGTTTCTGGGGTTTTTTCTTTTCTGCAGATAGTGTCTCTGTAAACTTTTAGTTGTCTACCAACTTAAGTGTCCCTTGTTTGTAATCTTATCTTGGTTCCAAAACAAGTTTTAATGAAAAATTAAGTTGACAAAAAAAAAAAAATCAATGTTATTTCTGTAAATGTATTTGATTTTATAACCATCGGATATTATTCCACACTAGATAATCTGGAATTCAACAAGCAAGCGACGTCGTATAATACTAATACAGAGTTGCCGACGAGAATCCACATCGGCCCAAATCAAAATATATGGGCCCATTTAGTGCTCTCCCTCCACTACGAGTCTTGCGTGGCCAATACACGTGACGGGACAGCCCTCTTTGACTCTATGACATTATGTAGCGCCACGCGGACTTATCCAGTTGTATACATCTGACGGTTGTGAAAGAAACAATTCACTCGTCACCGCGTAACACGATTGGGATCTCCGTTAATTTCTGGAACTATCTGCTCACATTCCAAAGGAACCAAACCAAAGTCTTGGCTTATATAAACACCAAACCGGCGATATCGTTACGACCCCTGAAAAAATAAAATAAAAACAAGGTTAAGGAAAGAAAAAGAAAAGAAAAAAGAAAATGATGATGATGAAGTCCTTGATCTGTCTCTCTCTCGTCCTCCTTCCTCTCGTCTCCGTCGTGGAAGGTGGTCTCGGTGGTGGTGGCTACGGTAGCCAGAAGCCGATCAAGAATCTGTCGGATCCGAACGTTGTCGCGGTCGCCAAGTATGCCATTGCGGAGCATAACAAACAATCGAAGGAGAGTCTTGTTTTCGTGAAGGTTGTGGAGGGAACGACGCAAGTGGTCGCCGGTACAAAGTACGATCTGAAAATCGCGGCCAAGAATGGTGCTGGTAAGGTCTTGAACTACGAGGCCGTCGTGGTTGAAAAGCTGTGGCTTCATTCCAAGACCCTTGAGTCTTTCAAGGCCGTCTAGATCTTCATTTCCACTTTGTTGTTGTAGATCGATCTCGGATTTTTTAAATCTATCTATATATGGCTTTTGATGATTTGAGATTTTGACATTTTATCTTGTTTTATTGCTGTCTTGGTTATAATTATTTTTGGAATAAAAGAAATAAATTAGAGAGATACAGTGTGTGTTTGAGATCTGATCACTTTGGTCTGCATTTGAGTTGGATCTACCAACACGATCTGATTTTTTTTGTTTCTGTCGCTAGTAAATAGTATAGAACATAAAATTGTTGTTGTTATGTGCATTTTATCTTTATATGCTTGCAAATATTTTGGAATAAACCAAATTAGTTTATAGGCGAACTGTTTTGTATAGGCTAGTGATCAATCCTTTGCTACGCGTATTGTCTCTTCCGATCCTTATCCATTTGTGAAATTCAAATAAGTGGCTAATAGTTTCGGAAGTTTAGTATATGAGTTTCATTGAATGGCTCTGATGTGAGGACCAGTGAATCACTTTTCACTTTTGTAATATCCTTGAAGAATTAACCAATATAAATGGAGAAGTTTTTCTAACGATTTTGTTACACAATGTTAACCTATTAGTATATTGGTTGGGCAATTCAGGTTTGTCTTAGGTCTTCTTCTTGAATCCTCCAAATCCTGCAACTCATTCTTCTAAAATCCCCTCTCTTGATTTCATGACTAAATTTAGACGCAAAAAAAATATCGACAATTCACATCATGTTAATAGAAATGCCCACCCAATTTGGCCGATCTGAAACATCTGCTCTTATTGGGGGAGCCCATTGGATGAAGATATAGCAAACTTGGTTTTTAAAATTGGATGAGCTTTAGGTACTTTTTTGGATGTGATTTTAGATTTTGGAAAAGAAATATCCAAATTATAAAGCTTTTTTAGTTTTCTACTGAACTTATAAATGTAGTTTTAGATTTTAATTGACATAAAAAAAAAAACTACCTAAAACTACACATATATTTCTTGTTTTCTGTAAAAAAAGCTTGAAAATGTTAAATTCACAGAAAAACAAACCCCAAAAGTTGATGAGTTGTTTTCACAGCAAAAAGCTTACTTTGTCCTTTTCAAAAACAAGAAGTTAAAAACAAAAATAAAAATAATAGACTGACTTTATGTGAAGTGAAAGGGGTGATGATGATGATGATATAGTATAGAAAAAAGAATAGTGTATGGACCCTTTCATTATTGCCAATATTTAATTTGCATACACTTTATTTGGTCAATCTTTCTTTGCCTTCCCTTCTCCACTTCATATATAGTTTCAAGTTTAATTTAAAGTTCTCTTTAGTGTATTATAAGTATTTTTCAAAAACCCACTTAAAACGTATTTTATTTCATATTTATATCTACCATATGTTTCTATGTAGGATACACGTGGGAATTTCACTTCATTCTCAGATAAGTAAGTAAAAAAGAAAACGAAAAAAGTAAAAAAATGATAAACTTTGAAATATAAAAACACTCAAAAAGACTAATCATGAATATTCCCATAATCCTAACACCGGCATATTCTTTTTTTTTGGGATCTGTCCGAACGAAGAGACGCGCATGTAGTTTAACTTTAAAAATCAAACTTTGTAATAATCATGCAATGCATTCAAAAAATGAGATTGGAATTGGATCCACTTTTACTACTCTCTAGTAGTATTATTCTTTTGGCGGCATGTTTACTCATTTAGTTGATTTAGTGGTGATGATGACTTAGCCTTTGTGTGGCAGTGGCACCATATTAGTTGTATTAATGTTGAAGTTTTTTTTCCATTATTGGGATTAGTGATACGAACAATGATAAACTAAAAACGCATACGAAATCCTTATTCAACGAGATGGTCAATAAACATTATTTACACGTGTGGTTAGTAATGTGATGACCACAAAAGAGTTGACTAATTGATAAATTAAACTTTATATTCTTAACAACCAAACTCACTTTGATGTAAAGCATGATGTCATATAAAACGTATTATCCTCCATATTATCTTTCTAATAAGTTGAAATGTCCTTTTATTTCTTCTTCTCCACCCATTTACGTATGAACCTAAAACATTTATCCAAAACTAAATATATCAAAAACATACTTGTTCCACATATATAATTGAGCATGCATTAATAATAAGACATTTTTAGGATCACTTCTTATCGTAACCGATACTTGTAATGTTGATGGCCCGCCAATATGTTCTTCTCATTGACCACCGCAAATTCTATTTATACATATTGCTTTTACCAACCATTTTAAACGAGTACTGATGCTAATTAAGCTAATATATGGTCCATAACTTGTTTTACATTAATTTTTGTTTGTCGAAAAAAAAAGGATAAAAATAACATAAAGTTGAATCATGGGTATGATGACCACGTAGTATGAATTGAGAACCCTTTTCAAGATAAATAATCCTCTTTTTTTAGCAAAAGCATCGAAGGAAGCTTCACAGGCAGAGCCAAGCCTCTAAATAAAATATTAGATAAATAAATAAAGAAAAAGTTGCTAGCTAAATGCCTAAATGTATTGATATTTATTCTGTGCAACACAGTGTTGTGGACTTGCTTTTGTGAAATCCAAGCTTTGTTTGGACAGGAGAAAGCGAGCAACACGGTTCGAACAAAGTGAGTAACGCGTAACCTGTATGTTGTTATTATAGGATTGTTAACTTTATGCATATAATTACTAGATAACTAATTCAACTGTATTAATAATTCATCTTACAGATAGATGCTATAGATCAAACGCTATTGTATTACCCGAAAAGTACATCTAATTTTGTACAAGTTAATGAAAGGAAAAAAAGGTATCATAAAACCAATACACATATTACCTAAGAGTCTACGACACATGCAAGCATATAGTATAAGATAGAATGTCCAAAGATATATTCACAGAGGAGGCTATTACAACATATATACTGTGAAGACAAGTGAGACTAGGTTAATATGAAAGACTCATCTATCCTTTCCATATTCATCACCTACATATAGTACTCCTCATTTTCGGATAATACCTTCCCACATTCGATACTGCTCAGAATTCTTTTTCTTTAGTTACTCTGGCAAAAAAAAAAAAAAAAATTAAGCAAGAGTTACTTTATAATGAGTTTTGTGGTATTACTACCAAATCCAAAGTAGCATTAGCTTTGGGGTTATCTTATCATGCACCTCTTCTCATTTTTTACCGGCTATAGCCACATTATATACCCACATGCATGGTTTTTACTTGTGAATCGATTGTTAAAACAATTTCAAAAGATATTTAATTTCAAGCTTCTTGATACACACATGCACATTAAACCAAGCTTGGTCATTGTTTTCCGAATTCTATAGCAATTGAACTTTTATATAACCTAAACTATATTTCTTTATACATACAATGATCACGTAAAAAAAGATTTATATTTTAGAAAATAGCTGTCACTATTCATGCGTTTAATTTTGCTAAAGAAATCTCACATTTATAAAGCCAGTACAAAATTATTATATAAACCAGATATCTCGATCAACAAATTGTCGTATGTTTTCTTTTTGCTTCTCGACTTCGACATCTTTTTTTGTTTTTTTACTTAGATAGCAGTAGCACTAATCATTATTAAGAAGCATATAATATGGATTTGTCATATAAATATTAGTAAACATAACATGTACGCGTAGACATACAATTATGTACAGATTAATGTACAATACATACACCCAACTTTGCAGAAAATGACATTAAAGTGATGGAAACATTCATCAAATTAAAAAGTTTTAAACACTGCAAAAAACGACAAAATTTGTCTACTTAATAGTTTATTTAATAGACACTTGAGAATAATAACTAATTAAGGATTGCGTAGTCTTCGATTATTCAATAGTATTATCCCTATTTTGGTCGCCGTAATAAGGATTGTATTTATACCTACTCTTTGTTTCTCTACGGCTGTCTAAAACGATTGTTAGGGTGGGGACAAACACAATCTTTACAATCACATTTATTTAACTATTAGCATTATTAATCATTTCAGATTCTAGTTGGGGTGTTGAACAACTCACCATGCTGTATAATTAGACACCACATTATTATTCTTTTCAAGAAATGATCACACTCAGATTGTTTGCCTTTGAAGGCAATATACGGATTAATTTGCTAAAATAATTAGGATTATATATATAACCTTTGACAGACAAAACTAAACATGATCTAAAATTGTTAGTAAGTCGCGTTGACGGTTGATTTTATTCATGTTTAATTAATCGTACGTGCACTAGCTTATAAAATCTCATATTACTCATTGCATATAAGTTGATGTCTTACTCAGTTAATCTTTGAATATATATATATTAACGGATTGGTTAAGAAAAGCAAAATGATAACTCATTTTTGGAACTTACGTAATTACATGCACATGATAAATACGTAAAGTCGTAGACTTGAAAAAATACGAAATTTTATTAACACACCGAGCCTATATTTTGACTACATACAACTACTACATACACATAATAATGTTATTTTCTTTAAACGGTGATTCATTAACGTCCGAGTGATTATGTAACATCCTAGAGAGTAGTGATGTAAGAAAACATAAGTTTTTACATATTCATATCATTTTCTTAGTGATAGAGAAGGATCATTGTGTTGTTGATCAAACTCATATAAACCGCAGAAGATGTTTACATTCTAAACCACTAATAGTAACCTTACCTCACAATTCTTCGTTTTTGTTGGTATACTATATTACGATATAACAAAAACCCAAACCGTCCTAAAATCAAATCAAAGATCGCAAAATGGTGTGAAGAGAAGACTGAACAAGAAAGAAGAGAAGAGTAAAAACCAAGTCAGTCATTGGGCGTATCTATGTCGACAAGCTCTGCACGTGGCATCGAGGTGTACCATTCAAACCCCTATCAACCGTTGGATATCTAATCTAACGGTGTTAACTCATCTCTCCTTCAAAGCCGTTCAAAAAAACCCAATCAGCCACACAGCCGTGTATCGGAATTACCAAAAAAGCCAACTGTCCCCACGTGTCTTCTGACCTCGACTCTTCTGTTCAAAGGGGCTTTTTCGTAGTTTTACCTTGGTCCCTCAAGTACACCTAAAAGTCACAGTCACATGGCTGGTGAAACACAGGCATGCGATCGATACGCTGCTCCTTTTACACCGTCGATGCTATTACATCCGATTCAAGATCTCGCCACGTGGAACCGTGATTCAAGAAACTCGTCACGGCCCCGTGAGTGAAGACTCCCCCAGATACCAACAGCTACGAGCTTTTAAAAACCTTCTCATCCTCAAGCCTCTTCCTCCTCTTTTATTCTCTTCTCACCATGAACGTTCTGATAAATTAGAATTAACTAAATTTTGATCTCACTCATCGGATAAATCTGTACGAAGATGGTTTCAGTTGAGGATCCGATATCTCATTCCAATTCTACTCGCTTTCCTTTAACTACCGATTTCTACGGTTCGTCGTCGCCGTCGGCGGCGAGATTACACCGGCAAGCTGGCCGGTCCATGAGGACAGTGAGATCTAATTTCTACCAAAGCGGTGATCAGTCTTGCTCTTTCGTCGGCTCAATCGGAGATAAATCGGAGTATGCGTCGGAGTTCCTTTCCGATTCCGTTATCGACATGAGGCTCGGCGAGCTCGCTTTAAAAAACAGTAATTCCCTCAATTCAAACGCTTCTTCAATGAAAGAGGAAGCGTTTCTAGACATTTCTCAGGCGTTTAGTGATTTCTCCGCTTGTAGTAGTGATATCTCCGGGGAGCTACAGCGTCTCGCTTGTTTGCCGTCGCCGGATGCTGAGAGAAATGAGAACGGCGGAGATAACGAAGCTGCGCAGGATCCAGAGCCGTGTCTAGGGTTTCTACAGAGGGAAAACTTCTCTACCGAGATTATTGAGTGTATTTCGCCTGAAGATCTGCAGCCGACAGTGAAACTCTGCATCGACGGACTTCGTTCTTCTTCGGTGGCCATTAAGCGATCTGCTGCGGCGAAGTTACGGCTCCTGGCTAAGAATCGAGCGGATAATCGTGTGTTGATTGGGGAATCTGGAGCTATTCAAGCTTTGATTCCACTTCTTCGTTGTAACGATCCATGGACACAGGAGCACGCAGTCACAGCGCTTTTGAACCTCTCTTTACATGACCAGAATAAAACTGTAATTGCTGCTGGAGGAGCGATTAAATCACTAGTGTGGGTACTCAAAACGGGGACGGAGACTTCAAAGCAAAACGCAGCATGTGCGTTGCTTAGTTTGGCACTATTGGAGGAGAACAAAGGCTCAATTGGAGCCTGTGGTGCGATTCCGCCGTTGGTGTCTCTTCTGTTGAACGGATCTTGCAGGGGAAAGAAAGATGCTCTGACGACGCTTTACAAGCTTTGTACGCTTCAGCAAAACAAGGAGAGAGCGGTCACTGCTGGAGCGGTGAAGCCGTTGGTGGACCTTGTGGCGGAGGAAGGAACTGGAATGGCGGAGAAGGCGATGGTAGTTCTAAGTAGCGTTGCAGCGATAGACGAAGGCAAAGAGGCTATTGTCGAAGAAGGAGGGATCGCAGCGCTTGTTGAGGCCATCGAGGATGGTACTGTTAAAGGGAAAGAATTTGCCATCTTGACGCTGTTGCAGCTTTGTTCTGATAGCGTTAGGAACCGTGGGTTACTTGTGAGGGAAGGTGCGATTCCTCCTCTTGTGGGTCTCTCTCAGAGCGGCTCCGTCAGTGTTAGAGCTAAGCGCAAGGTAAGAGTTGTGTTATTTTGCTGATTCTTCATTGCATCTTTGCTCGTTTAGCTTGATAGATAGGATGCCTTAGCTACAAAAACAATCAGAAGGCTTCCTGTTACGGATAAGTTTTAATTTTCTATTCTTAAGGAGTGGTTGCTCTGTCTGTTCTGTGATTTTACATGAGATCTCTAATCAGATCTAGCTTTTGTTTTCTTTTGGTCCAAAAATCTTAAGAGTCACAGATGTAGTAGATCCATTGGAAAATTGTGATATGGATTCAATAGATTAGCGGGTCACTTTTGCATAAATGTATAAAAAGCTTGAAATTGATCAAGATTCATCGTTGTGTATTGGTGCAGGCAGAAAGACTACTGGGGTATCTTAGGGAGCCAAGGAATGAGGGATGTTCATCAAGCCCTTGAAATGAAACCATGTGAAAGTTTCATCAGTCTAGTATGTATATACTGAGTGTATGTTTGGTGGTTTTGTATAGTGTCTTTATGTAGACTGTAAAGAGAGATCAAATGATTACCAGAAACTTGACTGACTTTGATCTCTCATGTATTGATGGTTAAGCTAGTTTTTGAGGGGTTCCAAGGGAGTCCTTATTTGGATTACAAGTCTAGCATTCAGGTTTTGGCTTCTGGTTGTGAGGGGTGGAGTATGCTGATTTTTAAGGCAAAAAAAAGCTTGTAGTAGCGTCGGCAAGATGCTTGTTCAAGAATTTAGCAATTTTTTAATCAATATTTTCTTGATCAATTGCTTTACTCGATTTGGGATCAATTATTTTTGGATCGGTCGAGCTTGTCTGTGGATCTGTGAGTCTGACGGTGGATCTTGTAGATGATTTGTATGTCAGCATATCTGGCACCACTTGCTTTGTCTTGTCGTACAATAGTAATTGGTTATCGTTGAAACAGTTGTTTGTCCCACCACTTTGACATTGATAGTTATGGCTGTCTCTAAAGTATATAATTCACTTATTAAGGTGCTGCTTTGGACTACACCAAGCTGTTTGCCTAAGTTGGCCGTATACTTTTACATAACTCTTTTTCTGTGTGTAATTTCACGTTAGTAGAAGCCCTAAGAGCAGCTCCGAGGGGAAGGCTTAAGGTCTTTAAGAAGCTTTTGTCTCAATCATGTTTTCTTTGAGGATTTAAAAGGTCTTTGATATTTCGTATTCCAATCTGATTTCTTACAATGTAGAATTTGGAATTGGTTGCCGAAACAGTAAAAAGCATAGAGAGAGAGATCAGTGATCATCATCGTCTTAAGCCGTATCGACATCTTTGCCCTTCTTGTTCCTTCGCCGCAAGAGACTGGGCCTGTAGCCGACTTCGAGCAACTTCTCAACTTCCTCAAACTGAAGCCCTTTGGTCTCAGGCACGAGCAACCAAATGAAGAATAGTCCGATTGTGGAGAAGCCAGCAAAAAGAAGGAAGGTCCCAGAGGAGCCGAGAGCGTGGGTAAGTGAGAGGAAGCTCTCACTCACAATGAGGTTGGAGACCCAATTCGAGACGGCAGCTATTCCTCCACCAAGACCTCTATATCTGAGTGGATAAATCTCAGAGTTGACAATCCATGGGACAGTGCCCATACCTGGAGCATACACAATGATGTAAAGCCCCAAAAACACTATTGCTAAGAAACCAAACTTGCTTGGACACCCATCTTTGAAGTATGTTCTTCCTCTTGAGCTGCAAGTTGCTTTCATGTCATCCGACAACACCACACAAGCTCCTGGTGCATAAGGCTGTACTCCACTGGCGCAGAAACCACATTTTGACCTGAGACACTTCATGCAGTTCCACCTCGACGGGGGAGCATTTTCGGCTGCTAGCGGGACAAACGCTGGACAAGTAGCATTTGGAGCAAACGTCCTTGACTCCATCGCATCGATCTTGGGTGCGTGAATGGCCGCTTGTGAGAACACAGTGGCTAATATGATAAGACATGTTATGATCCCAAACATAGAGATAATCATCAGCTTCCTTCTACCATACCTATCCACAAACATCATGCTCACAATCGAACCCAAAGCGTTGAGACCAGAAGTAATGAGAGACAAGGCCATAGCTGTCTTGTTGGAGGCATAACCAGCGAATTGCACAATCGAAGGACTGTAGTACATGACAGTGTTGATCCCCACAAATTGCTGTGCCACTTGCACTGTGATACCAGCTGCAAGTCCACGTCGAACAACGGGATTCCCAAAAGCTCCTTTCATTTTTGCGCTGAAGCTATCTCCGACGATTGCCTCGTCCGCCTTCTCCGCCTCTACAGACTCTTTCAAAGCTTCCATCTCCGCCTCCACTTCGTCCGCCGGGTAAATCCTCTCTAGAATCGCTCTGGACTCCGCAATCCTGTCCTTCCTGTATAACCACCGTGGAGACTCCGGCAGAGACAACATAAGCATAAACTGAACTATAGCCGGAACTCCCGCAACTCCCAACATCCATCTCCATGTTCCCGGAGTCTGTTACATTAACATTTTCAATCAAGACTTAGAGACTTTCTCATTTGTTGATATAACAACAAAACAGAGTTTGATAAAACAGAGCTGATCATGTTCACTTACATGGACAAAAGCAAGATTGATAAGGTAGGAGAAGAACTGTCCTCCAGTGATGAGAAGACCATTAGTACTAACAAGTGCACCTCTAATCCTCGCCGGAGAAGCTTCAGAGATGTACAACGGCGACGTCATCGAAGCCATACCAACACCAAACCCAACAAAGATTCTGCCAATGATAATAACCCACGGAGCAGGAGCAAGCGCCATCACAATCGCACCGATCAAGAAAAGAACATCAGCAATAAGAATGGACATCCTCCTACCAAACTTATCGTTAATCCAACCACCGACGGCAGCTCCGACGATGGCTCCGGCGACAGCCATACTAACAATAGTAGACTGAAGCCATGTTTTCTTATCAACTTCGTCGAAATCTTCTCTGATGAAGAGAAGAGCTCCAGAGATGACACCGGTATCGTAACCGAAGAGAAGACCTCCGATACCAGCGGAGAGAGCTAATCTCATGATGTAAGGAGTCTTCCATGTCGTTCTCCAACACTCTGTGAACTCTGTTTTGTCAGCTTTAGCTATCCCTCCTTCCACCATTGTATTCTCTGATCTCTCCTTCCGAGTTTGTGATTCTCTCAGCAGAGAAAAGAGAGATTATTCTCAGTCTTTCGTTGCCTTGCCTCTGTGAATCAGTAGCCACAAATTGTTATAACTATATAGAGAGAAAGAGATGAAAACGAATATATTCTAAATGAAAATGGGAATTAAAAGAAAAACATCCACGATTATGCATTCAAGATTTTGAGATTTGGTATTTGTTACTTTCTATATAAAACAGATCTTTACACAGTCAAAACAATTAAAACCAAAGACCAAACCGATGATAAAGACAGGCAAGTGAAGATAAAAAAAAAAAACATAGTAAGTTAAAAGGAAAAAAAATGAAGAAGAAGTCATCGTTGTAAAAGTGACGAGTCGTACCAGAGAGTATAAGTTTAAAGTCAGGAGAATGTTACGGTGTTTGAGCGTACGATGAAAAAATGGAGAATCTTTATTAGAACACACAAGAGAAGAGATGAGATGAGATGAAAGGATAGAATTAGGAGATGAGATGAATTTTTTGGATAAGATTCTCTCTTAATTAGTATTAAAATAGTGGGACCTACATGGCCTAATCCTTTTGACTGTTTTTGGATTAGTCTCTCAATTTACAAAGATTTTAGAATCTGAAAACGTTCATATCTCTATCTTATTTTTCTCTTCTGGTAATTAATACTTAACAGTTTGACCACTCAATATTTATTATAGCTGGAGATAAATATAATCTCCGTAATTTAGGGTCGATGGTGGAAATCTTAAGAAAAATAAAAAAACCAAAAAGAACAAAAATTCCAAAGCAGAATATATGTTTTTGACTATGTACAGTATATGTAAATCTTAATGCATGCATGCGCCAGAAAATTATAATTTTATGTTTTGATAACCAAACGAAAAATGATAATAATAATAATAATAATATTTAACAAAAACATGGAAGAATTTGAAAGATATATATCTTCAAGGAATATTTATTTACCTGGGAAATTAACACTCTGAATTTACGATTTTTTCCATATCTTGATTTGATTTGAGTAAGTAAACAAATTCTTGTTTTTTCCTCGGAACAGATGTGTTACTTGTGTGTGAGTTAATATTATACTACTTTTGAAACAAAACACAACAATGTGAGGATTCGTGAACCTTTATATATAGAGAATAAACTCAAGACTGAAATCCTAAATTTAGAAGAAGAAGAAGAAGAAGAAGAAAAAGATAACAGTGAGGACAGCTTGGTGCTAAAACAAGTGGTCTAATGTCCGATAAGTAAGGATGAACTTTAGGTCAAATATTATTGGGATAAGAATGATTCACTGTTAAAAGAATTAATGGGTTATATGGAATGTGTGTGTGTTAGTGGTTGTGTTTTCTTCTCAAGATCCCACATTAGTCAAATAACCCTCTATCTCCCTCTTCCTATACTTGTGTTAGTTAAAATATATAACTGTGACAGTTAGAACATGGCTATATTTAGTATATATTGATGATGACCCAACATATAAGTTTCCGAGTTGTAATTAGGGATTATCTTTTTTTTTTATTTGCATGATGGTCAACAGTTTCTACTTGTTTAATATAGATACTCGTGCGTCTCTCTCGTTTGGTTCTCTCTTATCATCTTCTTCTCTCTTTTACTCGTCTCCTTATCGAAACTTTGGCTAAGCTAAGTGATCCTCTCCACTTGACCAAAGGGATTCGATCCCCATCTTTCTTTCCTATAATATAATGGGAGAGTGTAAATTATGGTTGTTTATATATCATGGGTGCCAAGACTAACAAAAGTTTTTTTATATATTTATGAAAAAAGAGGAATCATGTTCGGAGGTTTATACCAGACAGATCATTTGTTATTATCGAGATCATCATTTCACAACGGAGCTAATGCAATGGTAAATTACCCTATCATTTGTTAGATATACGTATATACTCTTTTCATATGTATCTTTTTTTTTTAATTTTATTTTTGTCAGTTAAACCTTAAAAGTAGGTAAGTAAATTTTATTTTTTAAATCATTGAACTTAAAATTTTAATTAATTTTACTTTTGAGTTTTGATAAATAGTTTTTTTTTATATATCTTGTGTGTCTCATATAAGATAAGAGAAATCTAGTCCTATATAAAACTGCTCCGATAAATAATAGAATTCTATTCTCATATATTTGTGATATTATTATGGAAAAAAAAAAGTAGTAAATGTCAAGAGTGGGATTTGAACCCACGCCCTTTCGGACCAGTACCTGAAACTGGCGCCTTAGACCAACTCGGCCATCTTGACTCTCTGTCGTCTCAACCTCAAACGTTTTATATATTATATAAAAAGTATAAACCCTTTCTCCAATCGAGAATTCTCGTCGTCTTCTCGCATTACGTTAGGGTTCTTCATTCTTTTGGTTTCGAATAATTCCCAAACTTGAGCATCAATGGGTCGCTCTCGGGGGAACTTCTACAATTACGAAGACCCTAATCAGAGGTTTGTTCCTAATTCAGTCACAATTGATTTTGCCGATTTTTGTTTTTGTGGGTTTCTCTTTTGTAAATTCCTGCTGAAACTGATTTGAATTTCAAAAGTTTCTTTGAATCTTCGTTTGCCTCATTATCATTGTTGTGACAATGAGCATCGTTTCAAGTTTGCGGCTTTTGAAAACTTTCAGTAGCTATAGTCTCTACTATCTTCATCTTTGTGATTGTCTTTTTTACTGTTGATGCTGACGGAGAGAGAACTGTGTTTTGCATTTTGTTGCAGAACGAGGAAACAAAAAATGCGTTTGAACCCTTAAATCAAGAAAATTTAATTAGAAGAAGGCACAACAAACAATTTCTCCATTGATGGGAATGTTCGTTTTCTGCAATAGATCACTAATCTCGTCTTCTCTTTCTCACAAATCCAACTCCTGGTCTATCTGCTTCACGCTCAACAGGCTCGCCAAGGTTTTTTACACTCGAGAGTTTCAAACGGAGGTGTCTCAGTCTTTGGCTTGTGGTCCTATGTTTTCCGCCAACGCAACGACGATCCTGCGCCGGATGCTGGTGGAGAGGAGAATTAGCAGGTTTTTCCTTCTCAAATCCTATCCTGGTCTTAGTTCTTTTATCAGTATGAATGCTGAGCCCTGTTATATTGAATTAGTCCAATCACGCTATGATCATTTTTTATGAGTTTTGTATAAAGTCTGAAGCTTTACGTTGATAAATCAAAGTTTGGTTCTCTCACCTGCAACATGTTCTAGCTTTCAGGCGGAGAATCAGAGAAAGAAAGAGAAGCTGGATAAGACATTAAAGGGTTTGTGTGTTACAGGGAGATTGAAAGAAGCTGTTGGGTTATTGTGGCGTAGCGGGTTGCAAGTAGAGCCTGACACTTATGCTGTGATGTTGCAGGAATGCAAACAACGGAAGGGATATACAAAAGGGAAACGGATACATGCTCAGATGGTTGTTGTTGGATTTGCTCCCAATGAGTATTTGAAAGTCAAGTTGTTGATACTTTACGCCTTATCAGGGGATCTTCAGACTGCTGGGATTCTCTTTCGTTGTTTGCAATGTAGGGATTTGATTCCCTGGAACGCAATGATATCTGGGTATGTGCAAAAGGGTCTGGAACAAGATGGGCTTTATATTTACTATGATATGAGACAGAACAGAATAGTTCCGGACCAGTATACATTTGCTTCAGTGTTTAGAGCTTGTTCTGCATTAGCATCCCTGGAACACGGAATGAAAGCGCACGCTGTGATGATTAAGTGCCATATTAAGCCGAACATTATAGTCGATAGTGCCCTTGTTGATATGTACTTCAAATGCAGCAGTTTGTCTGATGGCCACAAATTATTTGATCAGTTGTCCACCAGAAACGTTGTTACGTGGACTTCATTGATGTCTGGATATGGATATCATGGAAAAGTTTCAGAGGTGTTAAAATGCTTTGATAAGATGAAGGAAGAAGGTTGTAGACCAAATCCTGTTACATTTTTGGTGGTTCTCACTGCGTGTAACCATGGAGGTTTAGTTGATAAAGGTTGGGAGCATTTCAATTCTATGAAGAGAGATTACGGGATTGAACCTGAGGGACAACACTATGCAGCTATGGTTGATACGTTAGGGCGTTCCGGCAGGCTACAAGAAGCGTACGAATTTGTTATGAAGTCACCATGCAAGGAGCACGCTCCGGTATGGGGTTCATTACTTGGGGCTTGCAGGATTCATGGGAATGTGAAACTTCTAGAACTCGCAGCTACAAAGTTTTTGGAGTTGGATCCGACAAATGGGGGGAATTACGTGGTGTTTGCCAATGGATATGCGAGTTGTGGATTCCTGGATGCTGCCTCAAAGGTTAGACGGAGAATGGAGAATGCAGGAGTTAAAAAAGATCCCGGGTATAGCCAGATCGAATTACAAGGAGAAGTTCATAGATTCATGAAGGATGATACGTCTCACAGATTCTCTGGAAAGATATACAAGAAGGTCCATGAGATGACTTCATTCTTTATGGATGCTAACTACAATCCGGATGACTTAGACGCTATAGACGCTAGCTGTCATGTTTGATGGACTGATATCTAGTCTTGTCTTGCATTGCTTGACCAAAACAACCTGCAATTAGCTGTTATACATTTGTTTCAAGTGATGTTGTTGCAGTTTCTCATATTAAGCCTGGTATAGAGAAAAGGTACACTCTGTGAAGTCAAATATTGGGTGGACTATGAAGTTACTCCAGTGATAGGCTCTGGAAAATCCATCGTGGTTCAAACACAAGTTTTGGTGTGGACGGGGATTAACAGATTGGTTGGTAGAGTGTGATATTTAGATAAGTCTCAAACTCGATACAAATGATGTAATTGGTATTGATGGAAATGCGATTTTTTGTATAATGTAAGTATTTAAAGTTTTACTCACATCCATACATTGCTGACTAGTATAGACAGTACTGTATTCTAGTGGTGGTTATAAAACTAAACATAGACAAAATCATATGAGTATGGGGACAACTGCTTTGGGCTTTGGAGAAAGATAAAAAGTACCCTACCACACACGGGAACTAACAGCGACGTCGTGAAGAAGCCAAATAAAGAGAGAAGATCCTTTTGAGAACAAATCAATAAGCGTAACCTAGCACTTTTATGAATGAGAAACTTGTGCTTCTCGTTTTCTGATGGGCCTCTGGTATCCAGGCTTATAACTTCGGCCCATGTTGTGGTTTATTCGGTTTTGGTTTCGGATTAAACACTAAAAAGAATTGCTTTCATTGAGAGTTGAACTCAAGACCTCCCGCTTACTAAACGGGTGCTCTAACCAACTGAGCTATGAAAGCAATACGACTGTTCTTGTAAAACATATTATAAAGTTATTATAGAAGTTGGACGCAATATCTCTTTTTTGTTTTGTTTTGAGCCTAAACCAAAAAAAACCTGCAACTACTATCTAACCATCTCAACACAACGAGAGAGGTATCCAAAAAATGCAATATCTCATTCACATGTTTGTTGCAAGATGTAAAAGTCAGTGCCACTTCTCTGATAATAATCTCAGTAGAACTTCTTTTTTCACTGTTCATTCGAATAGTACAATGTTAGCAGTTTTTTTTAATCTATGGCATCATTTCATCGATTAACTACTTATTGTCTACTTGGCCATTCTTCTTTCTCAAAGATTTCAAAATCTTTTATGTATATATTTCTATGCCTTAAAAATCAATTATAAGAATCATTGTCACATTTGTCAAAATAATTGTCTTGTTCAGCAAAAGAGATTCACTCAACTACGAGATATCACAACTCTCGTTTCTTCTTCCCAACTACAAAATGTTAAAAATGTCTGATCGGGAAGGAAGAGTATGATGTAATACTCACTTGTATTTGAAACACAAAAAATATGGTGAGTCATTCCTACATGTATGTCTCCAAAACAATAAGAGGTTCACTCTATTGAAGCTCATCAGGTTCTGCTGACCACAAAAACAAGAGAAGCAGTTAGTATATATTAGTTGAACGGAGACTATTGGAGGGGGAAATTTTTAGTTATTACCAACCTTGTGTTTTGGAATGTGACAACGACGAACCCTCTTGCTTGCCCTTTGATCTTATCAGTCGTTTCATCCGACTCAAACGTAGCCCACTTGACATTGCACCTGTCCATTGACGTAGCCTTAATCAAGTTAGATCTCTCTCTCAATATATGTTGTTATATATATATATATATATAAAGTAGCTAGCTTAATTACATCTTGTATTTGCATCTGTTGCTCCTGTGTTGCTTGACTCTGCACCATTAGTATTGGGCTTATTCAATGTCCTAGCCAGATGTTTCAGACGGCTCAGCCTTATAGTACCCATCATTTTAGCCAGATCCTCCACTGGTATTCCCACACCTGGATGTTATCAAACATACACATGATCATATACACTTGATTCACAACTATCATCACTTGTAAAATTACATTAGATGGAGATAGACATAGCCTCACTCTGATCAGACTCATCAACGAAGCTGGCTCCAGAATCAGGCGGTGAATTCAGTGCTGTTTGGCTGCCTCCAGTAACTGCTTGGATGTGAGAGTCTTGACGGTGTATCTCAGCTCTCTGCCTTCGAAGCTGATAGTTTTTGCGACGCCTAGCCAAATGCCTTTCCCTCTCATCTTGGCTCATAGACTGTCTTCTTTCTCTGTCTCTTAGACGCCGCCTTTCCCTTTCTTGCTCCTTCCTACTCTTCCTCGATTCCACAACCTCTTCCTCCATTCTCTATTGCTTGCATATGACTCTGTTTCTACTCACAATCCATTGAGATATATAACGCATTAGCCAATGAGATGGAGCAAGAATTACGATACCAAATATCAGAATTTCAATAATATAGCATATACGTTTGAGCAAAATCCAAAACGACCGGGCCAAAAGATAAAGACAAGTGATATAATAAAAGATCCACATTTGCGTGTGGATCTATCGAACCAATAAACCCTAGACTCCGACTACTTGGTAAACACGTTTTAGAACCGACGAGCCCTTAATTTCGGAATAAGAACAAATCTTTGGCCGAACAAAACCACCACCTTATCCATAATACGACACTGGCTAAAACCGCGTCTAGCGAGAGGGGAATCAGAACTACGAAGACAACGGGCCTGATTACACAATTGACAAGGCGAACGCAAACGATGCAGAGAAAGATTGATTTAACAACTGACCTGAACATACGCTCTCCGAGTTGAAGCGTCGGCGTCTATGAGAGAGATTACGATTCGACGAACGTTTTCTTCCAACGAATATTAATCTTTTTTTTTTCGATCACCTTTCAATCAGCAGTTACCATATGCGATTTATGACATTTCCATTTTGCAATATATATTATTTGCCTAATATATTAGCTGAGTTACATTATTTCTTTTTCTCGACAGGTTTAGTATTATTACTGCGATGACTCAAACAATCCAATCCGCTGGGATAGAAAGTACATTCCATTTAAAGTTTTTTGTTTTCTCGATTTCTTAGATTTCACACACCAAAAAGGTGGAAGTTTAACTTGATGGTTGGCACTGTTTATAAAAGTGAACCGGTTGATTATAATCAAGTTGCATAACATTTCTCATTTTGTCTAACAATGGATGTTTGATCCTCTAAAAACTATAGAAGAGTCGAATAGTTCAAAACTTTCAGGTGATATTTACATAATAATAGTTCCACATATAATATTGACAATGGTGAGTACCGACTAGTTTTCATATGCAACACATTTTGGACATATATGGGGAAATTATGATTAGGGGTATGGAAACAATGCACATGAGACCAAATAAAGAGGCAGATCATAGTATAGCTCTTCAAGACATTGAAGAAGAATCAGACCACTATGAGATGAAGAGAAGAACCGAGCGCAAAAGGTGTTTAATCTCTCACTTTTACCTGTTGGTACATCCTCTCCAAAAGCTACACAACAACTAAACAAATCCAAACAAACCACAGGCGAACAAGCTACTACATCTGTTTCGTATGAGGGCACCAATCCCCTCAAGTATTCTATTACTGCAAATATACAATGGCTATCCTAAAGGTGATCATTTTCAGCACGAACGACAAGTACCCCAAATTTAGCTTAGCTCAATAATACGTTAGGGAAATGCCAGAAGCTATATACACAATAAGCACCAATACCTTTTTCCATGACAGGGATTGACCAAGAAAGGGTCTTTTAACAGATCCAAATGCAGATGCTCCTTATTCATCTGAAATGTTGAAACTGATACATCCCTCTGCAAACAAGTTTACTTACACTCCCAAAGAGCAGAAAGATACCAACAGGATCCTATTCAGTGTAGTCTAATAGCAACAGCAAAGAACATACCAAAGACATCACAATCACAACAACTTATCATTAAAAGAGTATACTCAACGCTCAAATCTTATTGATCATAATGAAGTCATAACAAACAAACACAGAGGCACATTTATATCTCCTCAATCAAACAGCAAGACGTAGCAGAGATTTCAATCCGATTACACGAAATGAAAGGTTTTCAAATTCCGAAATGAAGTCACCAGATCCAGAAGAAGAAGATTAAAAAAAAAAGCTAAAGTGATTTGGAGAAACCACCACGCTTCTGGTAACTAGCAACCTCACCATCATTGGGGAAAAAACCCATGAGTCTACCCGCTGAGTTCTGATACGCATACATGAAGCCCCCCATGAGCCCGATCAGTCCTCCAGTAACCATTGACGGACCTTTAATCCCAGGCTTAATCCCTACAAATTCGCCAGTTCCAAAAACACCAAATGAGCATATTATCAAACACAAAAGCATCAATTTCAACAGAGAAAGAGAGAGAGAGGTTTGTGGACCAGAGAGATAGCCGACGGTGACGGAGATGCCGGTGATAGTAGAGAAACGGAGGTAATCGAGGGTGCTGAAATTGCCGACGACTTTAGTAAACGCGGGATTCCGATCAACGACTGGGTATTGTGGCTTCTCCAAGGCAGTGATGTCAGTGTTCATCTTCGATCGATAAATCTACTACGAATCTCTGATTCTATCTTCTTCTTCTTCCTTCTTACTTCCGATCAAAATCTATTTCTAGGTTATATTCATTTCAACAGAAGCTTAGAGCTTCTACTTCGTCTAGAGGCTTTTGTCTTTGACTTATAATAACCTCTTTGTTGGGCTTTCTCGTCGCACACCGAATGGGCCCAAATTAAGAACATTAGCATCTCAGGATGTCCGTTGAAACCACTACTCAAGAATCAAGAATCAAGAATCAAGAATCATCACTATTTCAACTATAAACCATATCTAGATGTCTCGTCCATTTATCTCACACTAGTCGTTACGATCGTAACTCAAAGATCAGATTGCTCAACGTTACAAAAATGATATCCGCAATATTATCATTATATGTGGGATTTCTAAGGATATGTATATAGATAAAGGAAAAACGGAGATATATCTTGTTTCTTATTCGATCAATGGTTTAAATTCTAACTACGTACTTATATTCTATAGTTGTAAAATTTTGATATATTATGTGCGCTGATTTCAATATTTTGTGTATGTGTGTGTGTCTAATTGTATATATAGACCATTTATTCATGTTAGCTAGTAATTTGAGAATATTTCAGTTTGAATAAGATCAGATTAAAATCAAGTGTTTTAACTTGTATTTGAATTAAAATGGACTTGAAACTTTGATTAAATATATAATTTAAGATCAACTTTTATAAATAATAGTAATAAATTTGTACTTGAATTTATATTCTCTTAAAAAACAATGATTGAATGTCGTCGACACTTTAGTTTCTATCTCTCTTTTATCTCAATTATTGCTGACATATATAAGAGTACTGAATCGAATACGATGCAACTAGGTTTTGAATTTTCATAGATTTCTTTTTTGAATAAATCGCCAACAAAAGCAAAGCTGCAAAATCAGGGTTTCAACATGCGCAAGCGGAGCCCAACTGAAGTCGCATTTCAAGTCTGTCCCTTAACCAATCAAGACATGTTTACCATACCTTTTTTTTAAGGTGAAGTTAAGTTTGAAATAATTAACAATTAAGTATATGTGAACATGTATTTATTTATAATTGCCATGCCTTTATACAGAGTATACATATTAATGAACAGTTTGGCATAGCCAAATGTTGTAAGAACAAACTTTGGTCATTTTTGTTAGTCTTAGTAATTTGGTATAGTTTAAGCGCATGTGTGTTGACAGTAAGACACCTTTATCTATCTTCTTTCTTTTCTGCTATGAGTGTATCTATCTTACTATTGATTTTGGTTGTGGAGAAGTTACTGTATATATAAACATAAACATATATATAGAGGAACTAGAGAAAGGCTGATCAACTTTACATATGGGTAAGTAAAGACTTGAGGAATAATATGGTAAGCATCAACAAACACAAGAACCAATAACTCAATCAGTAGATCGATAGGTATCATCATCGTAAAATAAAATATGGCATAAAATCATGAACTTGGAAATAATTAATATATATATGATTGCCATTTTAACCATACATATCACCACCACCTACAAGACTCTTTAAAGGAGCATACTGACCCAAAAAAAGGTTATACATACATATTTATAAACTAAAAGTAAAGAAAAAAGATGGAGGAACAAATTTTAGAGGTGAAGAGATGTATCAACGTCGTCATATCGATCAAACCCACCCATCTTCTTATCGTCTTTATTTGGCCACTGATGACAAAAGCTTGGCTTTTCGATGGATTCAGAGGTGGAATGAGGGCATAAGGAGAGGGAGAGAAGCTGCTGTGACGAGGATGTTTGAGAGTTTAGAGGTAGAAACTGGAAGAAACCAAAACTCGTGGGTTCGCTGTAATATTGCAAGATGTTGTCTTGGTGGTTAGGTTTAGGGTTAAGGAGCTCTCGCTCGGCTCTCAGCTCTCTTGCTCTTTGAAGCTGTCTGAATCTTTCTTGAAGCAAGACGATGGAAGACTGGATGACCATTTGTTCTTTTCGGTCTCTTGCCATTGAACTCATGACGTACAAAAGTATGAATATTAGGTGGTATAATGATATATATGAGTCGTTGAGAGTGTTTACTAGGGTTTGGGGCCATGTTCTACGTGTGTTGTTGCCTATTTATATACGGAGGAAAAAGGTCGAAATATTCTGATTATTTAATCTGCATGAGAATATTATACAAATAAAATAAAAAGTATATAGGGTTGTTGAGTAGTTCGATGAAATTCCGAAAGGAAGAGAATCAGGAGTAAAGTGGGAAGAGAACAAGAGGAAGAAGGCAAAAGGGACAATCTAAGGATTGTAAAAAGAGAATGTATAATGTGTGAGTGGGAGATTTGCATTTATATTTCTTTCTTTCTTTTTTTAAAGAAAATTTATAAGTAACAAAAGATAAATGAAAAAAGTTGGCCAAAGTAGAAAATGGTTGGGAGGAAAATGACAAGAAGAATGTTTGAAGGGAAGCACATGGATTGGTTTGTTTGGATGATTATTGTGAGATATATAAACCCCTTTTTTCATGCTCCCCACTTACCTCCCTCTACGGGCTCTTTTTATTTCAAATATGCAAAACTTTTTTATAGAGTATTTAATTCTCATTGGGGATTGTCTTGTTAATGTTTGATTTGATTTGGTTGTAACTTCTACGTAGCATAAGGGCAACATTATTGCAAGTATCTTAAAACTGAAAATGGGGATCTTAGCACAGTGTTCTGTATCTTATATAAGATACAGAACACTGTGCTAAGATCCCCATTTTCAGTTTTAAGATGCTTGCAATAATGTTGGTCTAACAAAAGTTTTCAATTATAAATATATTGTCAATATATATTGAACCAAAATTTCTAACCATGCACATGAACTATCTAGAAGACTAATCTATGTTTACAGTCGTATTTTTTCTCTAAAATTTGAATATATACGTTCGAGTTTTCTATATAGAAACACGAAATGAGGTTTTAATATTCCATGGAGAAAAAACGTGAATAAGAAAAGGGAATGACAAAAGGGTTTAGGAGAGATTTTGGTGGCTTGGGAGATGGTGAAATGGAGCCACTTCTTTGTCTCTACATCAAATCTTCTCTCGGTGGAATTTAAAGTTAATATTATTTGGCATTCTTCAGTTTTAAAATGAAAACACACTTTAAAGAAAAGTTGTTAATGGTTTATATAAATTAGTTGATCCACTTTTATAAGTTTTAACTTCTTATGATTTGGCAAGGAGGAAAAAGTAATATGAAAAAGTGGGCCTAATGTATTGATAAAATGACAAAAGGAGTTCAATAGAGTAGGGAATAATTATTAATTATCAGCACATATTTATATGAGATGTGTGTTTTGTTTTCTTGAGTTTTGTTTGACTGATAAATTATTGTGAAAAAGACCACTCGTTTTTACACAAAAGACATTCTCTCTCGATCTCCTCGTTTTATCTCTCGATCCAAATGCAGCTCTAAGCTCCATCCCCATAATGAAAAAAACATCCATGCATGTAACATATATTTACCAAAGTAAAATATAAATGTATTATATACGTACGTGATCAATATATCTATGATGCGCAAAGCCGAGGGAAACATTATTTACGTTTGATATGAAGTCTCAAACATACATACACCCATGTATCATGTAAAATTTAATAATCCGATTCTACCACACGTGTACGTTGGAATTTTACTTCATAGTAAGATTGTAAACCCACATTAGTTGGTCCACATAGTACAAAACTTATCTTACATATATATCATATCAATAATACACTGCCTTATAAGTAATGTATCACTCTTTGATTTTGATATAAGATATAAATTGGTAAATATGTATTGTTGTTACAAACCTCTAGCTAGAGTCTATATATCTAGCTAATGAGAAAGAAAAGGAAAGAAAAAAAGCGAGACAGTATACCTACAAAACGGAGCGGGTTGAAAAAGAGGAAGTGGACAATGAGGGGGATGCAAAGTTTGAAAGGCACATCAAAAGTGGTGGGAGCAAAAGTTTGTCGTCAAGCAATTGGAATGTAATGGCATGCATACACCAAAGCTGAAGATGCTACGACGTTTAGGATTTGGATTTACATTGTGTTTTTTCCTCTGCTTCGGTATCTGCGAAGTTTTCGATAATGCTCTGATTTGGTGACAAGCCCAATTAGATAGATGGTTAATTATAATTATAAGTGATCGGATGGGACAAAACATAAAACGTCTTTAGATTAGTTGAGAGAGATTAGAGACAAAGCGTGCCATTTCTGGTAAAACCATTACAACCACTCTTACGTAAAAAGAATACATTATGTTTTCTTCTTTTTTTTTTTTTTTTTTTTTAACTTTCGTTCTTTCTTTTTTACCCTCCTCCATGAGTCCATGTTGTGAACTTGTGATTTATTCAGGTCTATTCTTATCATGTTCATTCTAAATTTGGCTACGCACCTAAATCATTTTTAACATAATGGGCTGATAAGCCCAGTGGAGCCTGTTGGAAAAGAATAATTCAGTATTTAGCATTGTTTTGCTCTATTAAGGGCTTGAGTTTTGTTTGTTTTCCGAAAAGTGTAGAAACTTTTTCTAATTTTACAATCTAGACCCTCCGTCTCCTCTTTTCAGTTTCAGACAGAGACACCAATCTAAAATTCCAAGTTTTTCCAATTTAGACGTGAATCTCCGCTTGAAGGATTGGAATTTCTGGGACTCTACGACGGAATCTGTAAGTTCCGATCATATTCACGAGGATCTCGTTCTATCTCCATAGATTTTAGGTGATCTCTTTGTCTGGCGGATTCAATTAGGGATTCTCTTTTGCTGATTTGATTGCTATCGAGTTTTGAATTGTTCGATTTTGGGTTTAGCGGATTGCTATAGTTTGATCAGAAGAAGGGTAATGGAAGGAGAGAAGCTGATAGAAGATCGCGGCTTTTTGGCTGCTCCTTTGACCTTCTTCGTCGTCGTCGTCTTCCAGTTGCTATCTAAGTGGCTTGACCAATTGAAGAAGGTAAAAAAGATTCAACCTTTGGTGTTTTCATATCCACCCCGAACAATCCAATTCAAATTCCCCTTTTTTCTTATATCTCTCTAGAAAGGGTCGAAGAACACGACGGAATCAGAGCTACGGTCCGAAATTAAGCAGCTTTTGAGAGAGGCTAGTGCATTGTCTCAGTAAGAAGCCCTTTGTTTTTTGTTTTGTTCTAGTGATTAATGAAAAGGAAGGTGAGTGGTTGAAAAAACCATGTGAAATGTGTTGATCAGAGAGTTTATCTATGTTTCTCAATCGCAGGCCAGCCACTTTTGCTCAAGCGGCAAAACTTAGGAGGTCAGCAGCTACTAAGGAGAAAGAACTTGCACAGTGTGAGTATGCATTCATATTAGCTCTACATTGTTATTGATGGCTTAGTGAGCGTAGAGTTTACGATATTTAGACAAAATATGATGCTACAGTTAGTTAGTTAGCTTTAGAAATGAAAATTATCTGGTAGCAGCTATACCTTCTTATTAGAGCATGGCATCATCATGGTCTGGTATATACCTAGTAATGCCTCTATTTTGATATTCAGATCTGGAACAGCATAACAAAGAAATTAATCTCTCATATGATCTGTATGGAAAGGCTCTGCTTGCTTCAAAGGTAACTTGAGTGGTGTGTTTAAGCTCCTTTTCTTTCCAAAACTCTTGAATGAGCTGTGCTAAGAACTTTGTCTCTAGGTTGTAATATACCTAATCTTAGTACTTTGGTTCTGGAGGACTCCGATTGCCATTATCGCCAAGCAACTTGTTCAACCGTTTGGTGAGTAGTTTTTTTTTTTCTTTTTTTTTTTGCGGTTTAAAGCTTGTTTTGGCATATAACACATAGGTTTAAAAAAAAAAACTGAATGTGGTGTGCTTCACAGGAACTTTGTTATCTTGGGGAACAGGAGGTCACTTGACAGGCCATGTGTTGGTAAGTTCCTTCCTCTCAATCCATTTCTTTGTACTTGTGAGAATGATAGTGTAATTTGTTGGGTGAAAATGCAGGTTGGGATCATACCATGGCTGATACTCTCAACCAGAGTGAGCAAATATGTGTGTAGGTTCGTGGAGTTCTAAATCACATCCCTTAAGAAGAGTGGAGATCAATGGTTTGAGTTTAAAGCTGTAGCGTTTTAGGAGACACTTGACTTGAGTTCTAAATCAACAATTTTTTTGTATATTTATCATATGAATCTTAATCTCAAAATTGGTTTGTTGGATTTTACTTACATACAACAAAGTGATTTGGTTTTCAGAGTTGGGTAAAAACGTTGTTACTCTTGAAGGAGTGAGTCCCTATAAGTGTCCACAATGTGAGAACTAATCATCATCACAGCACATTGTCTCCACTACTCTTCCCCTATACGTGTTGTCAATTTTTAACACCGACTTGTGTATAAATCAGATTCAAAAGACGCGTGTACTTATTCAACACGCTGCAAATGCATGTGGTTCATTAAGGATGTTGCATTATATCGCCGGAAATGGAAGAAACAAAAAAATAAAGGAGAAAACGTAACACTTTAATTTACTACTACTAAACAAAAAAAAAGTGGGTAAGCTAAAGCTAGCATGGTGAAGGTAACAACGCACTATAGTTTAATTGGAGAATCTTATAGCAATTAAATTTAGAGCATCATTATAATATCCACTTCCACCAACCACCCTCACCAGTCACCAACACTCACTAGCGGAGTGTGTTTATCTCTTAATTAATCAAAGGAACACAACTTAAATCCTATGTTGTTTGATAGGAAAGGAACGTGCACGTGTCACATCATCCACACTTGTCTTTCTAAATCAAAGAAACTTGATTGGATTTGGCTCAAGAGTTTAATAAGACAGAACTAAAAAGAAGTGTTAGGTTTGAGGTCTAATTGGGAGATGGGAAGTGCAATAAATAACAGGGAAGGAGATTTCGAAGTTCATTAAATAGTGTGTGTGTATGTGTATGTGTATGTGTATGTGTGTGTGGGCATCCAAAGTAGTCCCATCTTAAAATAATTCAAAAGCCATCGCCCATCGGGATATATCAATCTCCTCTTCTTTCAACTCTCCTAAAGAACATTAAAAGACAAAACATGGAGCATCGTAATTTAATTTAATCCTAAAGCTTGATTGTGTGATATTTCACTTTCGTGTCTTTATGGGATGAGTGGGGATGTTAGAACATGTATGTGTGTGTGTGTGTGTTTTGGGGTTGTGATGAGAACCCACGTTTCAATTGAATGCATCTCATTATACGTATTTAACGTCTTGAAGAACTTTTCTACCACTTGGCAGATTTAGGAAACTATGTTTCTCGTGTACTTTCAATGAGTATCATATTTACATACTGCAATTCACGCTAAAGACCAACAAGTCAAGACAAAATGAGATCATTGTGAAGGTAAAAAAGAGTTTACTAGATAAACATTGTGGACATCACATCATGTAGTAAAGCTAAGAGTACGTAGATTCAATATGACCATCAAGTGAATTCATTCTACTTTTTTTTCTAAAAAGATAGTGAAAAGTGAAACACATGGTGGTAATAGTGAACATCTTTTTAAAATTTTTGAAGAAATTGATTACAATAATTTTATAATAGGTGGTGAATTGATAACATAATATGCCATCATCTATGTACGTAACTCATGGATCAAGACTTTTCTTATATTGATTGATATTTCTGAATATTTCATTCTTTTTTTCACTGAATTATTGTGGATATCCTTTTTTATTTATTTTACTAAATAATCCAGAAAAATTATGGTTTGTCCAGCTTTATTTTACACTAGAACTAGTAGCAAACTTACTTGTGAACACACCACTCAGTTTTGGTGATATTTTTCAATAAAGGAATAGGGACCCCAAGCGATGGTGAAGTTAAAGCAAGAAGCTCTTCTCTCTATTTAAGGCCTTGAGCCGACTAAATCACTCTATTTCTCTCTTGTCTCTACGGAACCTGTCTTGTCCCAAAAATCCGATTTTGAGAGTACAAACTGGGATTTACTTGAGAGTGGGGAGGTCAGACCACTGATAGCAAGATGAAGCTTATTGATGGAAGACTTAGGCTAACGGAGCTGCTCTTACGGATCTCCATCAGTGTCCTCTCTCTTCTTGCGCTTATACTGATTGTTACAGATTCTGAGGTCAAGCTTATCTTCACAATCAAGAAGGCGGCCAAGTACACCGATATGAAGTCGGTCGTGTAAGCTTCTCAAGAACCCATTTAAAAATTCTAGTAATCCAACACCATTTCACTTGAGGGAGATGACAAATTTGGCAACTTTTTTCTTGTTCTTGTTTGGATGCAGGTTCTTGGTGGTCGCTAATGGGATAGCTACGGTTTATTCTTTGTTGCAATCAGTTCGTTGCGTGGTTGGTAAGATGAAAGGAACCGTTTTGTTCAGCAAGCCTCTTGCTTGGACCATTTTCTCTGGTGATCAGGTGAGTTTTAGTTTGTGTTTCGCTTTATCCCTACATTTTGTTGCCAAAATTAGTGATTTGAGTAGTGATATTAGTGGCTTTTGCTTTGTCCATTTTGAGATCTCGGGTGTCAAAATTAGAGAAAAGTAGGGTACTATGTTGAAAAGTCTCTAAGCATTAAATGGGTTTGGTTGGATATTAGAAATTGAATAACTTTATAGGTAGGAATGTTGCTTTCTTGTTTGCATTCGAAAATTGAATCTAGGAGACGGAAGTTTTGTTGGCATTTAAGAGTGTGTAGTTGCAGCAATGTAATATGGTGTGATTTGGATGAGCAGGCGCTGGCGTACTTGAGTGTAGCGGCCATAGCAACAACAGCAGAGTCTGGTATGATTGCAAGGGAAGGAGAGGAAGACCTCCAATGGATAAAGGTGTGCAATATGTATGGCAAGTTCTGTAACCGAATGACTGTAGGAGTCGCCAGCGCCTTGTTTGCCTCCATTGCTATGGTTTTCATCTCCTGCATTTCTGCTTTTAGTCTTTTCCGCTTGTATGGTGCGACAAAAGACCGCAGAACCTCGCCGTGGTGAAATGCGAATGCGCTTTGTCTTTAGTAGTGTTTAAACATGTTGTTAAGAAACAAATAGTTATAAAAAAAAAGTGTAGGCTCTTGTTTTCTTCTTCTTTTTCTTGATGATGTTCTCTATGTGACAAAATCATATGTAAAACTGGACTGATATGTTCTCTCTGTCAATGTGCTATATATATATCCTGTGATAACAACATGACTATGATAAGTTTTGCTTTGTAACCTCTTTACGGTAAAGAGTGTACTGCTTCTATACTATACCCTCATCATATTGCTTCCCCAGTAGTCAATATAGTTATGTGTAGGGAAGAGCACACCCAAGTCTTCCTAATGTCCTATGGTGTGGAGTTCATTAGGGTTATTGACTTCAAAGCTGGTCCTCGTAGTGTTTCTCCTTTACACCGACCTATATATATATTGCAATTCTAATTATATAATTAGGCCCTCCTTACCAGGCCCGTTTTGCCATTTATGTTTTGGACTATTCAAGGTTTTTGAGTTCATCTCTCTCTCTCTCTCTCTCGGTCGTCGTTGTGATCAAACGAAAGGTAAACAAAGACTTCTTCATTTTCTGATTTAAATACTGTCTTTTAAATATTTCTTTCACTTACGTTAGGGTTCTTCATCCTTTTGGTTTAGAACAATTCCCAAACTTCAGCATCAGTGGGTTGCTCTCGAGGGAACTTCCACAATTTCGAAGATCCTTCTCAGAGGTTTGTTCCTAATTCACTCACAATTGATTCTTCCAGTTTGGGTTTTTGTGTATTTCTCTTCTGTAAATTTCTGCTGAAATTGATTTGAAGAAAAGTTTCTTTGAATCTTCGTTTGCCTAATTATCATTGATTTCTAGTTGAGACAACGAGCATCGCTTCAAAAAATTAAGGCTTTTGAATATTTTTTCATTAGCTATGTTGTAGTCTCTTCTATCTTCGTCTATGTATTAGCAGTAGCTGCTTAATTGATTGATTTTCGTATTTGTTTCGTATCAGTTTTTGACGCCGTTCTGATATTCCGATAGCAACAAGCGTCTTTGATACAAATCCTTAATCGTTGCCCCTTTGCCTCCAAAGTTTCGGAATTGCAATTTCTGAATAGAAAGCGACATGTCGGAGAAGTTCTCGCCGACTTTGAGGCTTGGAGATCTCAGCGATTTCATAGCTCCGTCTCAAGCTTGTGTCATATCTCTCAAGGGTACAAAGCCCATAAATAAGAAGACTGATCGACCCCAGGTCCGAAATTTCCATGCTTTCCCTAAGATTTCTTTCTTTTTTGTTGTTTTGGTTGAATTTTCTCATTGTTTCTTCAACTAGTTACTTCTTGAGTCTCTCTCATTCTTTATATTGCTTGCTGCCTCTATTTTCTATTGATATGTCCACCAGCTAATAAAAGTGTTCCTCTTTGTATTTGAAGGTTGTGATTGCCCCAAAACAGGAACCTGAACCGGTCAAAATTTCTCTCAAGGATTGTTTGGCTTGCAGGTCAGTTCTTTTACTTACTGATTCTGAGTCGGTCTAGAGACTTTATAGAGTGTTAATTGTTTTCATATTCAATGGTACAGTGGCTGCATCACATCGGCTGAGACTGTTATGCTTGAGAAGCAAAGCTTAGACGAGTTTCTCTCTGCCCTTAGCAAAGGAAAAGACGTGATTGTGTCCATTTCCCCACAGTCCAGAGCTTCCATTGCGGTTCACTATGAGATCTCTCCTCTCCAGGTTTTCAAGAAGCTAACTACGTTTTTGAAGTCTCTGGGAGTTAAAGCTGTTTTTGATACAAGCTGCAGCAGAGACTTGGTACTTATTGAAGCTTGTAATGAGTTTGTGAGTCGTTACAAGCAAGCTCATTCTGAAGATGGGAAAAATTCACAGTCCTCTCTACCTGTGCTTTCCTCTGCCTGTCCTGGTAAGCAGATTTACTCTGTTTGACATAATCAAATGTGTCTCTGTGTGAGAGTAATGAGCAAAAAATTCTGTGTATTAAGGTTGGATATGTTATGCTGAAAAGCAGCTTGGCTCTTATGTTCTGCCGTATGTCTCTTCTGTTAAGAGTCCTCAGCAAACTATTGGAGTTGCTATCAAACACCATTTGTGTCAAGCGTTGGGACTCAGGTACTGTGGTACTCTTGAAAATTTGGTTAACATTTGGTTGGTTTCCTTAATTTTTTTATTTACTGGTGATCATTTCATGGAACTAGACTGAAGGAGGTGTACCATGTGACTGTGATGCCCTGTTACGATAAGAAACTCGAGGCAGCGAGAGATGATTTTGTCTTTGAAGATGGAGAACATGATAAGCTGACTGAGGTTGATTCCGTGCTGACATCTGGTGAAATCTTGGATTTAATAAAGGTGATATTGTGATAGAGATTAAACCCTGTTTTCATTGTAATTTTGCGTCCATCCGGCATAAAATGTGAATTTTTTAATGGATTATTGCAGTTGAAAGGAGTCGACTTCACAGAGTTGGAGGAATCTCCACTCGACAGATTGTAAGAAGGATCATTATTTCATCTTCTCTGCTTCTGAGTGATGAATTCATTTGAAGTAAAACATTTTAAATTTGCCATGCATGATCAGGCTGACAAATGTTACTGAGGAAGGACATCTTTATGGAGTAGCTGGGAGTTCAGGGGGTTATGCAGAAACAATATTCAGACATGCAGCAAAAACACTATTTGGACAAACTATTGAAGGTCCTCTGGAGTTTAAAACTCTCAGAAATTCTGATTTCCGTGAAGTGACTCTTCAAGTAAGTTCCTAGCCAGAAACAGTTTGAATATATCCTCATTACTCCCTGGTTTTGTCTCATGTTCGTCATCTTTTCTCTCGCAGTTGGAAGGTAAAACAGTGCTGAAATTTGCGCTGTGTTACGGTTTCCAGAACCTTCAGAATATCGTTCGGAGAGTGAAAACGCGCAAATGCGATTATCATTATGTAGAGATTATGGCGTGTCCTGCAGGTTCATCTTCTACTTGGCAGACCCTAGTTGAAAAACGTATCTTTTATGTTGAGTTATTAACAATTTCCAAAAATGCTGAATCTAAACAGGTTGCTTAAATGGTGGTGGGCAAATCAAGCCAAAGATAGGGCAGTCTCAGAAAGAATTGATCCACTCACTGGAAGCTACTTATATGAATGATACTGTAAGTTAGCCTGCAGTCTCTAAAATGATACTCTGCAGTCTCTAAATTCATTTTCTAACTAAGCTAATAATAACCTGCCTTTTGGATCCAGACTTTGATTACAGATCCATATCAGAATCCAACAGCCAAGAGATTATACGAGGAGTGGTTTAAAGAGCCTGGTTCTGACGAGGCCAAGAAGTACTTGCACACTCAGTATCATCCGGTTGTGAAAAGTGTTACGGCGCAGCTGAACAATTGGTAGACAAACCGGTGTTGAAATTTTTGACTGGCTAGGCAACAAAGACTGTTCTATATTTGTGTACTTAGATATAGGAGAAGAGAGAAGCTTTTTGCTCAAATCTTTTATATGTAAAAGACAAATCTCAACATTACATAAAAGTACAATGAACACGATCTTACTAAATACGAGTTTGTTTTGGTTTGGCCAGTAATAATAGTACATTGATACAAGCTCAACACTTTCACTCTATCACATATCAGTTACTGTGCGATAGAGGCAAGGAGCCTGTCCTTCAATTGTTCAGTAGTGCAGCCACCCTGAGGACGGATAGTGAATGTGTGAACCACACCCTCTTCTGTTACAGCGACATTGGAATCATGAGGCATAACTTCATTCTCCCTCAATGTTTGTACAACCTTTGAAACAGGATGAGTTTCCAACGGACAGCTTAGCCTCACCACTGCATCATCTTGCCTCTGTTGATAATCAACCTCTGCTGGAGTTATCTGATTACTCTCCCTCCTCTTCATAATCTGCTTCTCTGTTTCGTATACCCTGATTTTCTTCTGCATATCCGTGATGTATGTGATTGCGTCCGCAAGGAGCGAAGCCTTATCCATCTTGGAGATGTTAGGCACCACAGCTCTCAATGCATAGAATCTCTGGTTCAGCTTCTCCCTCCTCTGTCGTTCTGCTTCCACATGGTTTAGAGCCTCTTCTCTTCCATTTGCAGGTTTTCTCCCTCTCTTCCTCGGCTTTTGCTCGTCAGTTAGATACAATGTCTCATCTTTCCCTTGTTCATAAGGGTACACTTGATTGGAACTACCAATTGCTTGCACCTCATACGATTCCAAGGAAAAACCCGAGTCATCCTCTGTCTTGGGGGAGAAATTAATACTCATAGACCTTGGTTTAGCTCCACCAAGGCTCAATTGTCGACCAAAGATTTTGGGAGCTTCTTTAGCCTGAACAAAGTCAGAACCACCAAACACTGATTTAACCATCTCAATCACACTCTTATCTTCTGGAATATTTCTCAAAGAACCAAGCTCCACAACTCCACAATTCACAGGTACAGACAACACCGTCTGAAACCCAGCAGATCTAGCCAAGAAAGATCTAACCCTATAATAACTTAAGCAGCTAGGCAAATCTGCAGCCCAGAGAGGCTTCCCAGACACATAGGTTCCAGCAGGACCATACTTATTGGAATCACACCTAAAGGAAAAGTACAAAGAAGCTAGATAAAACATGTCGAGATCAGTAAGAGCCCCTGATTTCGCCAAACGAGGATCCTCATCTGAACCAACAAAGGACAAGTGAAGCTTGCGAAGCACACGTCTTTTGGTCTCATCTTGCTGAGAATAATCCTCTCCTGAAACCCCCTTATTGACACGGCAATGACCATCTCCCCAGATTAAGACACAACCATCTGAGCTATTAACGTTGGAAGCTAGCCAGAAAAGTGCATAGTCCCAGTCAGAGCCTTCAACAACGTGACGTAGCCCTTGCTGGAGATTGGAATCACTTGGCGGCGAAACTAGCTTGGCCAAGGCAGTGTTAGAAGCTGAAGCAGATGAGATGAAAAAGTCACAAGCTTCTGAGCCTATGGTGGATTCCACCATCGCCCGATCTTCCAAATTCTCCCAAAACTTTTGACCCATTTCTCCTGAAACGTTCATCGAAATGAATACTCAAAACTTCAAGGGTACAAAATTAAAAGGTATTGGGTTGAGAAATCGCCGCTTACAAAGGAGAAAAGGAGTCGATGGAGGTGTCGTGAGGAAGAATCACGTGTTTCTTGCTGGGGCTTTGATTTTAGGGTTTGCTGATGTAACAAGTAAATCCCTTTAACAAAAGACTTATCTCTGATTTCTATTACCGAGCCAAGGACTAATCAAAGAGAAGACAGAACCTGTACTTTTGATTCACTCAGATCTGTAGGAGTAGTGACTTGTCCTGAGATTGACGAAGAAAAGAGAAACGAGGAAGATGTGTGAATATGAGTTGAATTGTATTTAAATACTAAGGACATCAATTTCTTTTTCTATTGTTTGTAACCGCAAATTCATTTTCTTACAAACCAAACCAAAAGTAATAATTGTATTTTGTTGGATCAACCAACTAAGACATGATGGTCTACACTCTACAATCCACCTTCCGAATCAAACTAACCACATACGCCTATCAGGCTATCACTAATCGAAAAGAAGTGTTTGTACTAGTTGGTTAGATGAATCATGCACTGCACTATAATCTCAAGAGCATATTTACGTTGTTATACCAATATAAGATAAGATAATAAACTGCATCCAGTATATTTTGACACGAATTCTTACAAATATATAGACAAATAAAAACTTCTTCATTTCGCAAAACAATGATTTTGTATTTTTATTTGATTTACATGCATTTTTAACTGTTCATAGTAGTATCACTTAAGATTCAAAGATTTCTGAATTTTATTTTTTTTGACTAAATTAATATACTTTTAAGTAGTTTATCTAAATTTTTTTTTCGACTAAATTAATATGTAATATCTTATACAAATGCTTTCTTAGTTTTTCCATTTTTTTTTAAATTTGCACGCTAAATTATTATTATTATTATTAAATGTATAACAATGTTATTCCGAATGATTTTTCCGGATACAAATTTACTTACTTCCTAGTCCTAGATTGCTCACACAAACTTTCAGTAGCTAAAAAAAATGAAAACCAAATTTCTACACTATAACATACTAATTTAGCTTATTTTTCTTAATTGCACTTTTCCTTTTTTCTCTCAAACACCATTCAGCAATTATTAAGATAAAAGTTTAGGATAATTGCATTGACATAATTATTAGAGGCAATGTAAGTTTGGTCATAAGTAAAAAAGAGCATCACCGTGTAATCCGAGAAATCTAAAAGCACAGTGCTTTACAAAATTCCTTTTCCCCTGCTTCCCTAAATTTCTCAGGTCAATTTACTACAGATCCGACCTCACAAATTCCGACCGAGTTTGTTCAATTCTGATTAGATCTTTCTTCTAGCGAAACCCCCCCCCCCCCCCACAAGTACCCTTCGATCTTGTTTGCTGAAACTTCGATGCTGGCATTACCTTAGGGTTCTTCATCCTTTTGGTTTCGACTAATTCCCAAACTTCAGCATCAATGGGTCGATCTCGAGGGAACTTCCACAATTACGAAGACCCTACTCAGAGGTTTGTTCCTAATTCACAATTGATATATCCGATATGGGTTTTGGTGTATTTCTCTTTTGTAATTGCCAATTTCTGCTGAAATTGATTTGAATTCCAAGTTTCTTTGAATCTTCGTTTGCGCAATTATCGTTATTTCTAGTTGGGACAATGAGCATCGCTTCAGAATTGGGGCGTTTGAGTAATTCTCGTTAGCTATGTTATGTAGTCTCTTCTATCTTCAATCTATGTAATTAGCAGTATCTGCTGAATTGATTGAATTTCGAATTTGTTTGAATCTGCGTTGTGCTATAATCATTGCTTTTTTTAGTTGGGACAATGAATGTTGCTTCAAATTTGTAGCTTTTGAAAACTTTCAGTAGCTATAGTCTCTGCTATCTTCATCTTTGTGATTGTCTTTTTACTGTTGATGCTGACGGGAGAGAATTGTGTTTTGCGTTTTGGTTGCAGAACTAGGAAAAAGAAAAATGCCGCTAATGTGGAGAACTTTGAGTCGACATCTATGGGTACAAAATTATTATCAAGCTTTTTTCTTTGTTCTCCTCTCAAGATTCTACTTTTGTTCTAACATTTGTACCTGTGGAGACAGTTCCAGGTACTGAGGGAGGAGGGAAGTATAACTGCGATTATTGCCAGAAAGACATTACTGGCAAAATTAGGATAAAATGTGCTGTCTGTCCCGATTTCGATCTCTGTGTCGAATGTATGTCTGTTGGTGCAGAGATCACTCCTCACAAATGTGATCACCCTTACCGAGTTATGGTTAGTTTGCTTTCGCCTTTCCTGCTTTTTAGTTTGCAAAAAGTTTGACTCTTTGAGAAAGAGATGGATTTTCTCTATAATCGCATCATCTATGCTCAGTAGTAAATAGATCTTGTGGTTGAGTTCCAACATAACCAAGTATATTTCATTTGCTTTCTCAGGGAAATCTAACGTTTCCACTTATCTGTCCGGACTGGAGTGCGGATGATGAAATGCTTCTCCTAGAGGTACCACTACTTATATCATACTGATATGTGGTCTAGTATTTCTGTTTCTTTCTGTGAAAAGTGATTTCTTTTAATCTCTTAATTCAGGGACTTGAAATTTACGGCTTGGGAAACTGGGCGGAGGTTGCTGAGCATGTGGGAACGAAGAGTAAAGAACAGTGTCTCGAGCACTACAGAAACATTTATTTGAACTCGCCATTTTTCCCACTTCCAGTATGCTATATCTGTTAAAATAACATTAATCTCCCACAATATTGCTTAGCCTTTTGCAATGTATTGACCAGGGGACATACGTTTTATTTCCCAGGATATGTCACATGTAGCAGGGAAGAACAGAAAAGAACTTCAAGCTATGGCAAAAGGACGCATTGATGAAAAGAAAGGTGTGTGCTACTCTAATTTGATTGATGGTTGTGTGATTCTTCGTTGTGCGTGTTGCTATCTTATTTCTGATATTAATGTGGGTTTTTTTTTTTGGCAGCAGAGCAGAACATGAAAGAAGAGTACCCATTCTCTCCTCCTAAAGTCAAGTATGTCTCTTGTTCTTCCCAGATATATACAATACAGTGATATCCTATAATTTTCTAATCTTTTATCCAATTTTCTCACAGAGTTGAAGACACACAAAAAGGTGAGTCATTTGCTTGGTATGTTATCTGGTTCGAATATAGGTATGCTTGTTGCTGTGTCATGTACTTGCTCTAACTTACATCAGTCGTTATCTAGATCACCATCTCATAAATGGAATCAGCTACTTGTATTTAACAAGCTGATTGTGCATATTTTAAAAATCCAAAAACGGGTCCTTGTAATTATACTGGTATATATTTTCTCTCTTTTTCTATATTTTGACGTGCTTTGTGGTTAGAGTCTCATACAGACAGGAGTTTTGGAGGAAAGAAACCTGTGGCCCCTGCGGTAAACAACACTTTGGTTGAAATGAGTAATTACAACCAGAAAAGAGAAGAGTTCGACCCTGAATATGACAATGATGCTGAGCAACTCTTGGCTGAGATGGAGTTCAAAGAGACTGATACTCCTGAAGAACATGAGCTGAAGCTGCGTGTGTTGCGTATCTACTCGAAGAGGTACAGTGTTTAAGATAAAACGTTGAACAAAGTCTCTTCTCTTTGTCGCCCACTCTGACACAGATTAGTGTGATGTTTGTAGGCTTGATGAGAGGAAACGTAGAAAAGAATTCATAATAGAAAGAAACCTGTTGTACCCAAATCCCTTTGAGAAGGACCTGTCTCAGGAGGAGAAAGTGCAGTGTCGACGTTTGGACGTTTTTATGCGTTTTCATTCAAAAGAGGAGCATGAGGAGCTACTCCGTAGTGTTGTAAGCGAGTACCGCATGGTGAAACGGCTAAAAGATCTCAAAGTAAGGACATTGCTTCTCTCAAACTTTGAGTTTTGTTTCTTGATTGGATGTGGCTCACGGTTTTGAATTGGGTGGGGCAGGAAGCTCAAGTGGCAGGGTGTCGTTCGACGGCTGAAGCAGAGAGATATCTGGGGAGGAAGAGAAAGAGAGAGAACGAAGAAGGGATGAACAGAGGGAAAGAGAGCGGTCAATTTGGTCAAATTGTGGGGGAAATGGGATCTAGACCTCCTGTGCAAGCTTCATCAAGCTATGTGAATGATTTGGACCTGATTGGATTCACAGAGTCGCAACTTCTGTCTGAATCCGTGAGTGTCGAGATACTGAACAGTGTGAAAAAATGAGTTATTGTTATAACTGAAAGAAGAGTTGTTTGTTTTTGCAGGAGAAGCGTCTATGCAGTGAGGTGAAGTTGGTTCCACCGGTTTATCTACAGATGCAACAAGTGATGTCGCACGAGATATTCAAAGGGAATGTGACGAAGAAGTCGGATGCATATAGCCTGTTCAAGATTGAACCAACCAAAGTGGATCGAGTTTATGATATGCTTGTGAAGAAGGGCATTGCTCAACTTTAAAGGCTTGTGTAGTGTTGTATCATATATATATGTGTGAGCTCTGTTGAGTTATTTGTTGACATCACCTTGTTTATTACACCTTGTCAGAATTAGTTTATAATAGAAAAAACAATTAAGTTATCCACAGATTGTGAAAAGAGATAAGGTGAATGAGAGCCACACAATCTAAACACCAAATGTTTTAGTATATAACAAAGAATCTGAATCCTACAAGAAAAGGAAGAGGTGAGATGACGACGATGATGTCTCTCCCCAAAATGAAACTATCTTGCCTGCAACCTCACCTCCATTTTAGCAGTAGCAGATCATTAGCAGCAGCTCAAGCTTTTCCGAGCTCAACCATAACTAACAGAACATCATGTCTTGTTCGGTGCGGCTCAGCCAGAAGAAGATTAACTTCGAAAAGGAGCAGAAGCAGCAAGCTTGAAAAGGCACAACAACCTCTGGGTTTGGATCGACACTGGAGACATGCTGTGGTTGGTGGAGTCTCCGTAGGGTTGATGATGGCTTTGGTATTGGGAATGGATGCAGAGAAAGCTATGGCGCTTGGACCGGAAGGTCCTTTAATGGAAGAGTTTTGGGACAACGTGAGAAGGTACGGTCTTTACGCTCTCACGGTCAGTACCGGAGCCCTCTCCGCCGTCTTTGAGCCTATCTTTGAACTCCTCAAAAACCCAATCTCCGCCATTCTCATTCTGCTCATCTTAGGTGGAAGCTTCTATATCGTCTCCCAAGTTGTCTCCGCCATGATCGGTGTCAACGAGTTCGCTTATGATTACAGTTATTAACCAACTATAGTTTGTTTTGTTCTCTTCATAAGCATGCTCTTGTCTTTTTGATCTATTTATAAATTTTGTTACAGAATCAATCACATTTTATTTGTTGAGATAAGTTACACCAAGTCATGTACATTGTAAAAGCTCTTAGAAGATGTGAGAATTGGTTGTCAAATGTTTCAATCGTATCTGTAAGAATCTCCAGGCCGTCCGGCGACGTAATCCATCAGTGTCTCGCCGGTAGCTTCTTCTGAAAGCTGTTGGAAGCCACCGAAGGTGATTGCCATCGCCAAGAAGGCTGCAGTTGACGCAAACAGAGGCCAGAAATAGGCTAAAATGTTCACAATCCTTGGTGCTGCGTACACGAGCGACACCACAATCACGCTCACCATGATTGCCACCATGAAATGGAATCTGTATTCCATTAGCTTTGCTTGGATCTCCATTTCTTTGTGATTGAACTCGGTGAGAGAGATGTTAGAGGAGAGAGTAGGAAGATGTTGAAGCCAAAAGAACTCTGAAGATTGCAATTTATGAGGAAGGAGATTGAGATGGTTTTGATTTGAAAGTTGGTACCTTTGGCTTTGGCTTTGTTGATCAACGAACGCAAGTTCTCAAGTCTTTTTCAAGTGGCTGTGTGCTTGGTGAAGATTCCCTTTGTTTTACATTAGTTTAACCCACTAATCATGATTACTGACTTGAATACCCCTAAGTTTTAGAGGATGTGAAGGGACATAATCGTCATTCTAAGATTGATGCTTTTGTCCTAGAAATGGGTTTTGTCTCTTTTCCTCTCATATGATATGATTACCAAACAAAGACTTTGTGTAAGAGAATAAAGAAGGAATAAGGGATCACATCGCTTTGCAAAGTTTCTTCCTTTTCTTCATATACCAATGAAAAGGTATCATCCTCTTTGTACTTTACATTATAAAACTCCACATTTCATTACCACCAAGTAATTGATTAACATTAAGACTTTTAAACAAAAACTTATAACCATCAGAATAACTCTGACATTCTCCAATAATGGGTTTTCAAAAACAAACCCATTATAAGAACTGTATTGATCACTTTACATATCAGCAGTCAAAAGATCTTCTCAACACAAATTTTACAACTACTGGACTGAGTTGTTTACTTGTTATCAAAACTTCTCTCCCTTCTGCTACTCAGCTTCAAACCATAACGTGATTCATAATTATACAGCAAAACCACTATCAAAAGCTATCTACCTCTACTATTGTCTGCAAAGATGGCTTCCATTTCCGGTGAAACAAAATGCCTTGTGGATTTTGCCGCAGCAGGAGCTCGAGCTGTTTCCTTGTCAGAGTGATCTTTATGCACCGCTTCCTGCCAGTTTTGCTCTCAGGTGCATCCTGAGGTAACTCCTTGACCTTCTCTGTTGATGCCTCATCATCGGACCAGACATCTGTAACCTTGTTTCCATGCTTGCTGCGCAATGTGTGAATGCAGTTTCCCATGATTCATAGTTATGTGATGATACCATGAATCAAACAATTTATATTCAGCTCTTGGACCAACGTGCAGGCCATCATATGCCCACTAACCCTTTTCTTTATTATGGTCAGCTAATGTAGCAGCACTTGATAAACATATCTAGTTGCACATGCAAATGTCAAACAGGGTCTTAATATATTAATGAAACAGTAAATCAATAGAGCATGCTTTCTAGGAGGAAGGTAAGGTCAAATCAGCACCGCCCCAGTATTAAAGTCAATAGGAGGATATGAAGAGACGACCATAAACTAATGAGAAGGAGACTAAATCAGCTCTCTAAATTGTTTCAAATGTGTATAACCCCAGTTTGCTAACATTACAAAATCTTTCCTGATCCAGAATATTCTGGTATCAGGAGATAGAAAGCTAAATAGTGGATAAAGCTCGAAGCCACATTGACATTTCAAAGCTACATACCAATTACAAGAGCTACACAGACACTCCTCCAGATGAGCGTCTAGACTCCAACCATGCCTTTGCCGCAACACTAGTAGTCAAAAACCAACCAACCTTATCCGGGGCTTCATGGAAAGGAGCATTTAGCTCCTTTAAGTGAGACTCAAAAACAGCTGCCAAACCTTTGTCTGAGTATTTGTGTTTCCCATGTCCAGTGTTGATTCCAAGCAACGGAGGGAACTCTTCTCCAGATTCCAAAGCTGCCTCTGATAAGTCGTTCATCCAAACGTGAAGAGCGGTCAAGGCTGCCCCCAGAGAGAGACTTTTTAGATGTAAGGACCATTGCGTAGCAGATTTCGATTGGAGACCCGTATAAATGTCATACTCAAGTCCCAATTGTAGGATCTCACAAGCTCTTTCCAACTTATTGAGATTGACGCAGAGATCAATCAAGCAATTCAAATATGCTTTCTTTACATCAGAGCCAATGGAATCAATCAACTCAGATGCTTCCTTCTTGAACACCCCTTCCTCACAGTTTTGCTCCTCGACCAACATCTTTACCACTTGACCCAGCTTTGGCTTAGCCTTCTCGACACAGCCAATGAGTTTACCGATTTCCTCAGTTGGTGTCTGGGTCATTACATTCAGAAGGCAACCACAGAATCTGTCATCCGGAGTAATGCCCAGTTCCAAAACTTGATCGAATGTCCTCACAACATCATCTACCCGTTTGGCTTTCCCATAACACTGGATAACTGACGTCAGAACAAATAGAGTAGGCTCAAAACCAGCTTCTCTCATTTGAACAAGAGCCGCCTCAGCCTCTGAAACCCTCCCACTGCAAGAGTACACAGTGATCAGCGATGAGAAGGTCCAGCTGTCAGGATCACAAGTCCCACAATTCTTCATATCTTGAAAAATCTCAAAAGCCTCATCCACATATCCGATATCAGCACACATGGACAAGAGAGTATTGTAAAGAATCACAGTTAAAGACAATTCTTTTTCCTTCATCTCGCGGTAGATAGCAAGTGCATCATCCCCATAACGAGCTCTACCATAAGCTCTAACAAGGGCAGCATAAGTACTCCAATTGGGTGTAAAGCCATTGCTAATAAGATCCTTATAGATTATCTTAGCCTGCCACGGCCTCTTGGCTCTACCCATTGAATCTAACAACCTATTGTAAATGACCAGATTAGGCTTCACCCCAAGAGCCTTCATCTCTTCATAGATATTAAGACACCCATCATAGTTTCCAGAAACACCATAAATCCTAATCAAAGTCGAAAAAGTAACAGCGTCAATGCGCCATTTCTCAGTCCTTGCACGGTCATACAAGCTCAAAGCCATGTCAACATTACCAGCACGCCCGTAAGCGTCAATCATAGCTGCCAATGTTACATTATCAGGCTCACATCCAAAAGAAGACATTTTCTCGAACCACTCAACAGCTCTTTTAGGCAAACCACACTGCCTAGCACAGCTAATTATCGTAGTGAAAGTTGCATTATCCGGTTTAACCCCTCTCTCAAGCATTTCGCCGAACAGCTTCTCTGAGCTTTCAAGATCCTTGCTTTTCCTAAACACCTTCATGGTAACATTGTAGAGAATCACTTCCCTACTCGGTTTCATCGTCTCCAAAAGATTATTCAACACAAGTGGCGCAGTTTCAGGGTTAGTCATGTTATTGAGAGTAACAACAGCATCTTGCTCAAACAATTTACCACCAAACCCAGTAATGACATCGCAAACATCAGACTCGTTTGGCTTACACGCGTCAAGAGACTCGGCTAGTTTGATAAGAGAAGAATACCTCGAATCGTATGATTTTCTACGGAGCTGAGAAGCTCTGGGGCTTTTGGGATTAACCCAGACGTAGCTTTTGGAAGCTGCAGCGTCTGGTAGTGGAAGATCCGCATCAAGTTTGGATTTTTCGGTCCGGGTTTCTTGCGGAATCGCTTCTTGTACAGAAACATGGGTTACTTGGAGAAGGTTTCTGGAGTGGGAAGGAGAAGAATTGGGGTTGTAAGAGCAGAAGAAACTTCTTGGAGTGGATTTGGGATACACTGAGAGAGGATTACAGAGAGGAATAGGGTCATGAAGAAGAGATGAGGGAGAGGAACATAGATGATGAAATGACATTTTTTTTCTTTTTTTGGTGTTACTACTACTACACTTTTTCGGAGTTGCAGCCTTGAGACCTTATCCAACAGAGCGATTTGTAAGAGACGAAGGAAAGAAAGAAAGTTGTGTTGTTTTAAGTATTCCTCGCTGTAACTACGTGCTGTTTCAATGTTAAAACCCACCGCGTAGTGCGGCAACTAGCTCTCTAATAGTAACGGCGTAATAGGTTTAGACATGAGATCATATTGGGCTATAATTAAATTTAAGGCCCATTACTGTTGATCTCTTATAGTACGAGTTTAAAGAATTCAAGAATTATGTAAGGAAGAGAGTTAGGTTAGAAGATCAAGATTTTAAAGATTAGGACCGTAAAGAAGCCTAACATAAAATGAAACACATCATGTCTTGATGTTTATATTTGATGAAATTTTTGTTTTGCTCGTATATTATGGGCCACCTCAGTCTTGATTGAATAAGAAAAGTCTTTAATAATCGATAGGTTAGTGCTAACAAAGTTTCTTTACAGTTAGTTATTGAATAGTTTTAAATGTACAAATAGCACATTCGAACACTTGGCTTATACTAAAACCACTCACATATGGGGATAACTTGTCTTTGAATGTCTAAATGCTTTCTTTTTCTTATTTTTCTTCGCTAAGACCATCTCCAACGCAAGGTTTATAAGAGGAGTTTATAAAAAAAACAGATTAAAAATAAATCAGAATGAATTAAAAATAAGGAAAGAGGAAAGAGAAAAGCTCTAAAACCTCCTAGTTAAGCTACCGTTCTTTGCACTATTTGTACAGCTGGACATTTGTGAGTGGTCAAACTTAAATAAAAACTAAAATATTTATTGTTTAATTAAAATATGATTATAATATTTTTTTTTTAGAATCTCACACAAGTTCACGGTTGGTGATGCTCTAAGGATGTAAATATCATTTCAAGAAATGGAAGCATAGGTTTTACAACAAACTTAAAAGTTTAGTTTAGGTCTAAAATGCTTATAATCCTAATTGAGAGCCGACATAGGATCTTCGAACATGCATTTTCTGACAAAAATCTACCATAGTTCTGGTAAAAGTCGACCTTTAACTATGCTGCTTTCACATATTGATATATAATGTGAATAACAACAAATTGTTTCGTGGACCATCTTTTTATACGCGTATTGTTGATTTGTTTCTTTAAACTTTTTACCATAAAGTATAAAAGAATACTTGAATTGTTTCCACTAATCATATTTTGAGGTAATCTTTAGAGTTAATTTTTCAGTAACATAATTAACTTCTACTCTCCTAAGAATATTTTAAATGGCAACAATAGTACTAAACTTCGTAAGAATAAGGTACTATACTATACAGCTCATGTGCACGAATCCTTTCGTCAAACTTGTAATAAAGAAGGAGAAAAATGTCACAAATCCCGATAATTACCACCGACGCTACTTTGAAAATGTAAAGAAGAAAGCTAAAAATCAGTGGCACATCACAAAAAGGTTGATTACGAATAAAGCGATCATACTATTATTGGTTCATATATTATAATAGAAGAAAATGAAAACAAATTTGCTTTAATGTGTACAGTTGTTTTACACAGTTTCGAATGGGACAAACCAGATATCGGAAAATGGCTAATACCAATTACAAAATACAGATGATCCTTCCTTCTTTGCTTATTTGTTTCTCTTAATCACAACATTACACGTAAAACCATGTCTCTATATATTATTATTATTTGTATAATAAAAGAAAAAGATTGAAGTAAAATAAAGGATTTTGTTTTTAAAAAGATTAAAAAGAAGTAAGTGAGGAATCACATGATGGAGCAGCTCTGTGGATTCTCTTCGCTGAAGTAATCACATCTGGTGACGTGGCAATGTCTGTAGGCAGGTGGTGGTGGGCAGCCCCCACCCCAGCTATCGTAGACTGGTCTCCCATAGCACTCGTATGGCTGCGGCGGCGGCATTCCATATCCATTGAACGCTGGCCCTCCGTATCCATCATAGTATGATGGTCCACAACACATTGCTGGCTGCCCTTGCGGCATCATCGGGATCGCCTGCGGCTGCTTTGGGGCAGGGGCGGGTGCTGGTGCTGGCGCTGGTGCTGGAGCCGGTGCGGGTTTGGCCGCGGCTGCTGGCTTCTCGGGTTCTTTAGGCTTTTCGGGTTGCTTCGGCTTCTCGGGTTCTTTAGGCTTTTCCGGTTGCTTTGGTTTTTCGGGTTCTTTAGGCTTTTCAGGCTGCTTAGGCTTCTCAGGTTCCTTAGGCTTCTCGGGGGCTTTAGGCTTCTCAGGATCTTTAGGCTTCTGAGGAGCTGGTTGTGGCTGAGGCTGAGGAGGCTTGGGTGGCTCAACGATCTCGATGGTCTTAATAGAGCCGCCGCCTTTGGAGCAGAGTTTGTCCATGATCCTCTCAGGACTACAGCAAACGACCTTGATGATGACAATGTTGGACTTTTCATCGAACAATTGGTCTCTTATTTCTCTTGTTCCCAATCACACAAGCATAAAAATCCACTCAGTCCATTTCCAACTCCCACCAAATAATTCACCAAATAAAAACAAAATAAAATCACTAGAAAAGATAGTGTAAGAGAAAACTCACGAGGGAATTTGCAAAGAACCTTCTTGACTTTCTTGTAACACTTGGCACAATCAAGATCAACCTTCAACTTCATCATAGTAACCTGTTTTTGAGGTATCAACATCACTAAATCCTCAGCTTCTTCTTCTTCTTCCATAGTTTTTCATTTATTTTTAATTATCTCTTAAGTTTGGATTTGACGTTTATAAGATTTAACTACTGCAAGAAAACAACAACCAAAAAAAGAAGGTAGAAGAACAGATTCTTCTCTCTGACACAAAAACAGAAAGAGAGAAGAATCTGTTCTCTTCTTTACTTTTTCTTGTTTTTTTTTTTGGTTACAAAGAATCTGATCTCTTCTCATAGTTTCCACAAAGTTGATACTCTTTTTTTAATCCACACAAAAAACAAACACAACCTTCACCAAGTCAATAATAAATAAACAAAGAGAGATGACCACAAAAGATGTTAAATATGCTCAAGACCCACATATTAAAAAACCACAAACTAAACTTTGAATAACAAAGATGAGAAGAGAAAGAGAAGAGAAAGAAACCTTTTCCTTGCCCTTCTCGGCCATGGCTTGGAATGAAGCGGTGAGATCTGAGATCTGAAATCTGACGGTGGCTTTAGCTTAGAGTCTACTTCAAGAGAGAGAGAGATGGGTGGTGGTGAGAAGTATAGCTCTTTTATAATACAAGTTCTCAAATCCTACTCCCACCAATACCCTTTTGACACGCGTTCCTAGTTGGCGTCGATTTTGATTAATCAAAAACAACTTTTTTTTTGCTCATATCTTAAAAAAATGAAAAAAAAAAAAAATATGATGCAGCCTCCGAAGGTAGTACAATAATGAATGACCAGAACCCTTTTCACATCTCTCTATAACTTTCATAGTTGCCATTATTTGACTTAACCCAAATCTTTCTTTCTCTATTTGTTGTCTTCATCTTTTACCCAAATAGCCAAATGACATTTACATGACTGCTCATCCTTTATAATTTTAATGTTTTCTTTAGTGGTGGATACATTAAGGAAGGAGTGGGGTGTGAGTCGGCTTATATTCAATTTTCTCAATCATTCTTCCTTCAACGCAACTCTTTGTCTCCTTCTATATATATATTTTGGATTATTTACTTTTGTTGAAATGGTATCTTTTGTAATTGTTTAAATCCAGCTCGATTAATCAACCACTCCAATAGTCCAACTCCCACATCACATGCTTTGTAGTTATCTATAAAAATAGAGAGATTGGCATAAGAAATTTGCATGTTATATCTTTTATATTTTTAGTTTTTGTATGTTCTTTCGTTTAATATTTTCACTAACGAACAAATAGAGCAATCATCATCACCATCAATTCTTCATACGTAAGAAGAAGATAAAACGATACTAGAAAACAACAACAAAATAAAGAAAGAGCTGGAAGATTCGTCACATGCAGAATAGTTGGTAGAATAAAAACACTTTATATTTGGGAGCTTTGGAATGTCTCTAAAGAGAATTTGTATATCGGTGGTAAATGAGTTTTGAATAGATGGTGGTCATGAGACCCAATGGGTATTTTGTAATACAAACTAAAAAAAAATAACACAACTCTTATTGGACTCTCTACTTAAGTTTATATGAGACTTCAATCATACTCACAAAGTCCAACGGGCCGATTCACATTCATCATCATTTTCATACACACAAATCACAACATATATACGTCTAGATTACGGGTGGTGGGAGTAATGATCTTTCTTTGGTTGGTAACTTCGGTTTGTATTTGACATTTTTTAATTGGATACATACAGTTTCAGTTTGGTTGGAAAATCTTAGACAAACATAAACTCTTGTTCGTATCAGGTTGGTTTGGGTTTATTTAAAATGCGTACGTCTAATATCTACATAAGAAGTCATCTATTTTATCAGTTCAGTTGATTTCTTCTATATGAAGCTGCAATTATATTAAAACATCATGAACATATCGTTAGGTATCTTCACAAGTCCATATAGTTTCATGTAGAAAAAGAACAATACAGTTTCCAATATGTGTTTGTTTCAGTAAAGATTATGCCCCAAAAAGTGTCCTTATTAATTATGATTATATTAGTAAGTACCAAAAGTGGCTAGCTATGCCTAATTATAAACTATTTATCTTTGTAAGACATTTTGAGTTGTTTTAGTTTTACTATACAGTTTAGTCATTTAGTGTATAGTGTATACTATCTCAATTATTTGCTATGTAGAGTTAGTGTTAAAAGTATACGATTTGGGTGAAACAGATTGACAAGAATATATAATGCTGAAAGAGACACACAAAGATGTACAAAAGAAGGAGTCGTCTCTGCTGAAAATTCTAAGAGAAAAATAATAATGAGATTGGAAATCTATTGGGTCCCCATTGCAACTCAAAAGTCAGGAAGACTTTGATAAGATTCTGTCCTTTTTGATGTAGTTGCCATTGCCAAAGATATATCCTTTCTACTTTGTGTGGCTCTGAGACATGTACTACTTTGATACTCTCTTACCCTATCTTTATCCATTCACATTTCACACATCAACAATTTTGATTTTTGATTGGTAACTTAACATTCTATTGTGTATGTGTTTTTTTTTTCACTATGTAAAGAGATATATAGTACGGATTTGATGATGTATTTTACCATACCAAACTTTTGTACCTCTACTTTTGTACCACCACTAGCTATATTTTGTGACGACAATAATATGTTTTATTTTAAAATTGTTAGGGAATATATTGTATTAGAACTATATATTCTTGTTTTATTATGTTTTGGAAAAAAACAATATTAGTTTAACGTGCAACATTGTTTTTTCATACTCCATCTCTAATCGCTGCACCATCATATCTTATCAGCAAAAGAGCATTACTATTGTATGTTCACCAATTTGATCCGACAACAATTTAACCTTTAGCTAGCTAGCATCTTTCAGCTCAAGAGAACATCTATGGACTATAAAGTAAACCATATATATACGTATCACATAAGTTGGTCCGAGAACGACAAGCACTTTGAGACAAATGAAAATGTTAATGGAATTAGAAGAAATTCGTTTTGGTCGATGCAGAATCAAGTCCGGCCCGCAAGGTAGCTTATGTCTCCTTCACTTTTTGCCTTACTGAAAGAAAAGGTATGAACGGAAAGGTCCAAATGAAATGATTGCATGCTGTAAATTTTTGTGGTGCATAATTGATTTACGGGTTCTTGAACAACAATGTGTATATATAATAAGGCAAACTGAGGAGGAAAGCGAAGAAATATGAAAAGAGGCTTTTTAGGGTTTAGGACCTTAAGGGAATAAAGGGAAGATTAACAATGAGGAAGTGTCGTTTTCTGTATGGAAGAAGAATAATGAGTGTGTGTGGGGATTGTGTGATGTGTCACTCTCTCAAATCCAAAATTCATTGCTTCAAAGCTACACAAGAATCATCTTAACAAGTAGTGGTGTTTGCCTCTACAACGATCTCTCTTACCATCCCATGGATTTATTCTTTGAAACAGAAAGAAAATAAAATAAAAAGAGGATAATTATTCCTTTTGTCAAAGATCTTGACGTTTCTTTTGTGTATTGCCTTTGTTGTTCGTTCAACTAATATAAGACCTTTGTGACTTGTGTGTGTGTGTGTTTGTGTGTTTCTCTCACAAAGTAGAAAACCAAACAATGTTTTCTAACCAACAAGAAAGAGCTTTGAGACATCACTCTCTAATCCATATAGTATATGTATAACCTCCATTTTTAAACCTCCATTTTTAAGTGTTAGTTATCTTTTGCTTTTTTTTTTTTTTTTTTAAACGTTTTGTGAGTGCTTTATTCATATGCATACCATTTCCTAAGAATCTGATGTGAATAGTTTAACCACTCTCTAAACCCCTTTTACTTTAATATTTTTGCCATCAGTTTCTTCAAATCACTGTTTCTTCATTGGACTTTTCTTTTCACGGACATAACAACCAATGGAAAGTGCAAAGAAGCATATTCAAAGGTTCTAAATCAAATCCCACTCGGACACAAAGAAGGGGTATTAAACTTGATATTTTAAGGATTTGGTAGGATTTTAAAATTTAAGAATTTTGAAAGAGTTGAGTGAGTTTTAAAGAGATTTGATTATGTTTTATGTTTTAGAGTTTTTAAGAGATTTGAGTTTTATTGAGTTTTTAAATAGTTTGATGATTTTAGGGAAGTTTATATGATTTTTGTAAAACCCATTCAAATCTCACCTTAAACTATGATATTTAGATTTTTGTATTTTTAACTAAGGAAATCCTCTCAAATCCTTCAAAATCATTTAAAATCAAATTCACAAATTGTTTTCAATAACAATGGATTTTAAGGTGGATTTTGAAATCCTTAGTTCAATAATAGTGGATTTAATGAGAATTTTTAAAACTCATGTATGAATAACATTAGATTTATAAATTTTACACAAATCTCTTAGAATTCAACTTTGAATACACCCCTCCTTAAAATATCATTTTAGAAAAAGGTTGTGATATTTTGAATAACAATAGATTTTAAGTAAGTTTTATATATTTTTTTTTATTTTTTTTTGTCATCAAGTAAGTTTTATAAATTATTAATTAAATAACAAGAGATTTTAAAGTACTTTAAATGATTTTACATAAATTTCAAGTTGAATAAGATAAGATTTTAAAAGATATTTTTAAATCATTAATTGGATAACTAGTGATTTTAAAATTATCCTAAAATCTTCTAAAACAGTAGTTCAGTAACCCCCTCCCCTCCAAAGTCCAAGTGTCACAGCAGCCACTCTGTCCATACCACGTTAGCATGGTTGGCACGTGGCTCCTGTTTCGTTATGTGCACACCACGAGCCTCCCACGCCTACGAAGCACGACCTCCGTCAGAATACTAACGGCCGTTCTCTTCCACTTGCCTATTTCTAAAACGCTATCCTCACGGCGTCGAAAACGTGAAACGTCGAGTGTTAAAAGCAGGCCCACTTGAGACAAGCTTCGAACTAGACAGAGTTCTGAGTGTGTCAGACGTCTAAAGACACGTGCGTATCACACGCGTGGAGAAATATAGGAAAGCCCAACCATTCAGAACCTCCCAAGGTGTCTTTGCGGATCTCATTTTCCTTAGTTTAGTGTTCTTTTTTCCTTTTTTACCAGACGATCCTAACGAGTCAAAGATCACCATTCCATCATTAGTTGTAAATTATATGAGTATTAATTGACATTAGATTTTAAACATTGGATTGCGTGAATGTGTGACACGTAGAGAAACTAACGTATAGGAGAAAAGGGGGCATTAATGTAAAACGAAACAGCATTCACTTTATTACATTAGTTCCCCTGTCTTGTCCTTTGGTTATATAAACAAGAACAACAACGCAACTTTGTCTGGTACTTCAGATAACGGGAAGAAGAAGAGAGAAAGAGAGAAAGAAATGGACGCCGAGAAGGCTGGTGATAAGAACAATGCCCATCTCTCATCGGACCACGAGCGTTGTCCCGTGGAGGAAGTGGCTCTGGTGGTTCCTGAGACCGACGATCCAAGCATACCGGTGATGACATTCAGAGCTTGGTTCTTGGGTCTGACCTCTTGTGTTCTGCTCATCTTTCTCAACACTTTCTTCACCTACCGCACGCAGCCACTCACCATCTCGGCCATCCTCATGCAGATCGCTGTCTTGCCCATCGGCAAGTTCATGGCGAGGACTCTTCCCACCACTTCTCACAACCTTCTTGGGTGGAACTTTAGCCTCAATCCTGGTCCTTTTAATATCAAGGAGCATGTCATTATCACCATCTTTGCTAATTGTGGCGTTTCTTACGGTGGTGGTGATGCTTACTCCATTGGGGCTATCACTGTTATGAAGGCTTACTACAAGCAGAGCCTTAGCTTCATCTGTGGTCTCTTCATCGTCTTGACCACTCAGGTATCTTTCTCTTTCTCTCTCTCTCTTTGGATTTCAAGATTCGTTAAAAATCTGTTAATTGACCATGAAGGGAAATGAAATTTTGTAGATTTTGGGTTATGGCTGGGCTGGAATTTTGAGGAGGTACCTTGTTGATCCTGTTGACATGTGGTGGCCTTCTAATCTCGCTCAAGTGTCTCTCTTCAGGTTTTTAATCCAATCTTGATTCGTATATTACCTACACTACGAGAAAGCCGATTCCGTTGAAGTTGAATTGTATTGTTTTTGTGTTTGTTTCAGAGCGTTGCACGAGAGGGAAGAGAAGTCCAAAGGCTTCACGAGGATGCAGTTCTTTCTAGTGGCTCTTGCTGCTAGCTTTCTTTACTATGCGCTTCCAGGCTATCTATTCCCAATCTTGACCTTCTTCTCATGGGTGTGTTGGGCTTGGCCAAACAGCATCACGGCTCAGCAAGTTGGCTCAGGGTACCATGGCCTTGGGGTTGGAGCCTTTACTCTTGACTGGGCTGGTATCTCTGCTTACCATGGTAGTCCCTTGGTGGCTCCATGGTCCTCTATCCTCAACGTTGGTGTTGGTTTCATCATGTTCATTTACATCATCGTCCCTGTTTGTTACTGGAAGTTCAACACTTTCGATGCCAGAAAGTTCCCAATTTTCTCCAATCAGCTCTTCACTACCAGCGGCCAGAAGTATGACACAACCAAGATCTTAACACCGCAGTTTGATCTGGATATAGGTGCCTATGACAGCTACGGGAAGCTTTACCTCAGCCCTCTTTTCGCACTCTCCATCGGATCCGGGTTTGCCAGATTCACTGCAACTCTAACTCATGTGGCATTGTTCAACGGCAGGTTAGTTACTTTTTGTGATTCAGTTTTGTTGAGTTGGTAGGGCACTGTGAGAAGAGAATCATCACTTGGTGTATATGTGCAGGGACATATGGAGGCAAACTTGGTCTGCAGTGAACACCAGGAAGCTGGACATCCATGCCAAATTGATGCAAAGCTACAAAAAAGTGCCTGAGTGGTGGTTTTATATATTGCTGGCAGGAAGTGTAGCTATGTCTCTTCTCATGTCTTTTGTGTGGAAGGAGTCAGTGCAGCTTCCATGGTGGGGAATGCTCTTTGCTTTTGCATTGGCCTTTGTTGTCACACTCCCTATTGGTGTCATTCAAGCAACTACAAATCAGGTTAGTTAGTAGCTTATGTAAGATAAGGCCTTCTCCAATAACACATGCTCATATCTTTGTATATTTTTCTTAATATTTTCAGCAACCAGGGTATGATATAATAGGACAGTTCATTATTGGTTATATCTTGCCTGGAAAACCCATTGCAAACCTCATTTTCAAGATCTACGGGAGGATCAGCACAGTCCACGCTCTCTCATTCTTGTCAGACCTTAAGCTTGGCCATTACATGAAAATTCCACCGCGCTGCATGTACACAGCTCAGCTGGTGGGTACTGTGGTAGCTGGTGTGGTGAATCTGGGAGTGGCCTGGTGGATGCTTGAGAGCATTCAAGACATATGCGACATCGAAGGAGACCACCCTAATAGCCCCTGGACTTGCCCAAAGTACAGGGTGACGTTCGATGCTTCAGTTATTTGGGGTTTGATAGGACCAAGACGGCTGTTTGGACCAGGAGGCATGTACCGTAACCTTGTCTGGCTCTTTCTCATTGGAGCTGTTCTGCCTGTTCCAGTGTGGGCGCTGAGCAAGATCTTCCCAAAAAAGAAGTGGATCCCTCTCATCAACATTCCAGTTATCTCCTACGGATTTGCAGGAATGCCTCCAGCCACTCCAACCAACATTGCTAGCTGGCTGGTCACAGGAACCATCTTCAACTACTTTGTTTTCAATTACCACAAGAGATGGTGGCAGAAGTACAATTACGTGCTCTCTGCAGCGCTCGATGCAGGAACCGCGTTCATGGGGGTGCTCTTGTTCTTCGCCCTGCAGAACGCTGGACATGACCTTAAATGGTGGGGCACAGAAGTAGATCACTGCCCTCTCGCCTCCTGCCCCACGGCTCCTGGAATCAAAGCCAAAGGCTGTCCTGTTTTCTAAATTCAGCAACTTGATTAGATTCAAACATATAAAACCACATGTTTTGCCCTTTCTATTGCTTCTTTCTGTACAGCCTTCTACTGTTAGATAGTGGCCATCAGAATGCAATAAACTCTACTTTAGATTGACTTGAGAAAACGATCTCTCTTGCAGATGCTTTGTTACACATTTTATTCCTCCTACATATATCTTTTGATCAAGGACACAATTTATAAATATCAGAACCAAACCACCACGAGACTTGAAAAATGAGGAATTGGGACTCTAGCCAAAACAGAACACCCACTCGACTTAATCTTCTTATTACTGGTTAAGGTTCAATCAGGTTTACTGCAGAGGGCACCAATGGAGACAACTCTCCGTGTGGCCCAAGATTGAAAGCTCTCGGAGACCAGTGAGAGTCAGATAGTAATGTTGGGATACATGCAATGACGACCAATAGCAAATCATTGGGAAGCGACAACAGATTCTTCTACTCCAGGGACGACATGGACGATACAAAATCAGACTCTCCCTTATTATGTTCTCTTCATATGGCCATGTCTAGCATTCTGCAAGGCAGAGATTAACAGCTTCCCCACAAACGCTAGTCACCATCAGTATGCTGTACAGCCTTATACTGTTAGATAGTCGCCATCAGAATGCAAATAAACTCTACAATAGATTCTTTTGGGCCATTCAGAAACCTGTCATCTTTTGCTTTTCACCGGTATATAGTTGATACGCAGATGCTTTGTTACACAAGTTGCAGAAGCATATGATCATCTGTCACAGTCACACTTTACTTTGCTAGATTTGAAACCAAACAATAATTTAAGACTGGCAGGTGACAACTGTTGTGAAAACTTGAACTCCCCAAAACAAAACCATAAAAAAGATTTGCCGGTTTTACAAGTGAAGTCGTTCCTGCATTCTTCTTTTCTAAATTATACTAAAAACAAAACAGATGATGAAGTCTTCGAATCAAAAGATTACACAGACACTGACTGAATACTGCATCTTCATTCTGTTGGTAAACCTTATTGACAACTTTAAAGACAACAAAATTCGCCGTATTGAGGGAATACTTTGCCTGCAAATAACTCTCTTCGTGTGTCTCCTTCCTATAGCCTCACTCATTCTCCATGAGATAACTTTTAACACCGACTAGATAGGAGCATGTCGAGTTCCCACATGCTACCCATTGGAATTGGCATCATCTTCTCACCTCTGCAATGACTTGTAGAGCACCACAGTAACATACTTTGCTAGAAAGCGGTGAGTGGAACCAAGTGCAACCACAGAGGGACCACTTTTGCCCTTCTGCATGTAAAGATGATTGAGGATGACATGCTGAGGTCTTGGCAGCGGAGATGGAATGTCAGGATTGGCTGCTGGCAAGTTCAGCAGTGTCATCTGTAGGTGCGGGGGAACCACAGGCGGTTCTTTCGAGTAATCCTCAGCTCCCAGAAGCAAGTTGCTGTAACTATTCTCTGGAGATTGCGGAGGCTCAAACCCAGATATGCTTTGAATGTCTTCAGGAACATAGTCCTGCATACATCAAAGTATCTCTGCTGCTTTCACACGCAAAATCGAAAAAGGAAATACAAAGCCTGGTTTTTAACTTGCAAACCAACATAGATTTTTTTCCATTTCCCTATAGTCCTGGTTATGCAGTTCCAATAGTCTCTCACTAAATGTTTCATTTCTCCACCTACTAACCGATTGGAAAGCTGATGAAATGTGAAAAGATAATGGAGGTACCTGAAGGTCCAAAATGTTGAAAGTGTTCCCAGCATCATCTCTTGCCAAGGGAAGCTCAGGGGCATGCCTCCACTGTCCATCAACAATGAACCTGTACTCATAGACTCCTGAAGGCAACACTTTCATGATAGTGAAGTCTTTCCCAGATCTCTGCAGCCGACTTCTGATCAAACCCCCAAAACACAACAACAACATAAGCTCAGATTCGAAACGATAAAGAAGTCATTAAATGAAAACAAAAATTCAGCTAAAACCTTGTCTTCCAATTGTCCCATGATCCCTCAACAGCAATCTCCTTGCCCCCATGGCACCATGTGATCATAGTAGGGATTCCTTGCTCGTTACAAGCCTCTTCATACAACGAAGATGGCGATTGCATCCACGACGGGTTAGGGATGTGAATTTCATCAGGTCTTTGAAGAGGAAGCACCGGAACCTAAAGAAAAAAAAAAGACACAAACTTTAAGCTTCAGATCTCTTCCATCACATCCCCCAGATAAAGACACCTGAAGAAAAGCGAATCTGAAATCACCAAAACCTGAGGAGCGAACATGAGAGGAGACTGAGTTGCTCGAGGGCTATGAGGAGGAGATTGACCCATAAGCTCAGGAGGAGCGACATGGTTGCCATCGGAAGCAGAAGACATGGCTTCACGAGAACAAATCTCAGCGTCGTCGTCTTCAACCGCAGAGGCGTTGTTACTATTCCCTTCTTCTCTCGCGTTCACGTTACCCATATCAAACAAACAACAAAAGGGATAAATCTAATCTCAATCTCTCTCTCTCTCTCACACCTTATAAAAGCTCTCTTTTTTTTACAGCAATCTGAGAAAAAAAGAGGGAACTTCTCACCGGATCTCACCACAAATTCATGAGTGACATCAACACACTCGATTACAAGGACAGGCCCGGGTTTAAAGATTCGTGCTTTATCGTAGGAATTGATCAAATAAAAGAGTAGGGACGGAGAAATTGAGGGCAACAATTATAAAAGGCTTCCCTGTGAGATCAGAAACTAAAAAAGCAGGAAAGAGAATGAAAAAAGGACCAAGCTTTGATTTCAACCCAAGACTGACTCTCTCACACAAATATCAAATCGAACGATCCTATATTTTTGTTGTTGTTGTTGTTGTTTTGTCATTTCATCAATTGTTGTTGTTCCCATACACTCTCCCATCTTCCCCCACTCACATTTTTCTCCCATCTCTTTACTTTCATCTCTTTGTTTTTCTTTATCGTATTTATTACCCTATAGTTTGTTTTTGTTACATTTACCCCCCAACCAACATTTTGTCTCAGTCAAATCAGTGGTAAGGCATATCAATCACCAAGTGTTAGATGTCTTTGATTCATTAACTTACTCGTTTACTATGCTCTCTGTATACCAAACGAAGTGGCTTTTTTACAAAAACGAAAAAGTTGTTTTTGCTGTTAATACCTTCTTCTTTTTTCCCACCAATTGGGTTTGTTTTGGCAAAGATGCTGTGGCTAACAACAAGGTGAGTACATAAACTTAAGCTTTTGACTTTACCAAAATTCTATTTTTGTTATATATATGTTTCCCACCACTCAAAACTAGTGCTCATTGATGATATATGGAATCAAATAATAATTAAGATAGGAGATAGAGAGTCTAGCTAGCCTAACTAATACGTGTTTCAGTTTTGGAGAATGGATGTAGGATTTGTGATGGTTTCTGCAGTATAAGCTCGGATCTAATTACAAAAGGATGAAAGGGTTTTAGCCTCTGTGCTGTGACTTGGGAGCACTTGTTGAAGTTTATCCCAACAAAACAAACAATCACCTTTGCTTCATAAAGTCGAATGGTGGGTTGTTTGCTGTAAAAGAAAGCAAATTCAATCTCTTGACCATTGACTTGTACTCAAAGCCAGAGGCTTTGGTTAGCTTGGTCATGCTTAATTTTGAAACCCCTTATCTTCTGCCTCACTCTCGTATGTGAATGAGTAGTCCCATGTGCTCTTGGAACCGACGTTTCCTTTTACCTTGTCATGTTCACAAAGCGAAGCTGATACAAAAGCTTGCTGTTAGCTAGGTAAAAAGGTATGGGATGGTGATGAAGAGGTCAAAGAGAAGCAGCAGCGAGGATCAACCAAATTTGAGATAAGAGCATATAGATCGTTGGTGGTCAGAGGGGCAGGACTCATTCTGTTCCAAAGCGTATCAACTTTACCTTCAAGGCTTGTTTTGTGAATGTTGTTCCCTGAAACCAATTTTTTTTTTTTTTTTAATCTTGTGTATCTTAAGTAGTTATGATGAATCAATCATATATCTCTCTCTCGAAAGGTCAACTTGTTAAAGTGGTCACCAACTAAGAGTTGACTTATTTACGCCAACGAACTCTTAGATCCTTTCCCATGTCTCAGCAGCCAACTACAAACTTTTATGGAGAGAGAGAAAGATAGATCGTGGCCAAAAAGAGAAAACACTCGTGGAAACAGTCGTAATCTGAAGCTTCTTTACACGCTAAGAATACAAAAGCAAAGGTATATTTCTTGGTTCATCTTCTTCTCCTCTCTCAAAAGTCAAACTGATGTCTTCATTGGATCAGCAAATTTATGTTCGATTCTTGAATTTATTTGCATAACTTTAGAGAGTTTATGTTGATGTTCAATGGGATTAACCATTTTGTTATGTTTGTGGTAGGCATGGAAATAGTGAGTCGTGGGAGAGATGATGATGCAATGTTTAGATGGATTAAAGCACTTATCCTTAATTCTGTTGACTTGTTGTGATGCTGATCTTCCCAAGGGTCGTCGAAACCCTATGGATGTGGCTAGAGGCACTGTGTGTATGTTTATTTTTCATACAATTACTTTACTGTTTTTGATTCTATCTCACAACCCCCAACAATGCTTTTATGTACCAAATGCAGTTACTGTGAATGAGATTGAAGCACTTTATGAATTGTTCAAGAGCATTAGCAAAGACGGGCTTATTGATAAGGTACGCAAGAAAGTCATTGTTTGTTACTAGTACTATTATGTCTTTGTTCTCCTCTTCAGTCACTAGGATCCTTTCAAATAAATTGCAGGAACAATTTCTGCTGGTACTATTTAAGATGAACACAACGAGAAGCCTTTTTGCTGATAGGGTAAAAAGACTTGTAACATTTGCATCTGTATTTCCTTGCTGTGCACTCACATTCATGCTCTTCAGGTGTTTGACTTGTTTGATACCAAACATACCGGGATTCTAGATTTTGAAGCCTTTGCTCGTTCTCTTTCTGTCTTTCACCCCAATGCTGAATTTGAGGATAAGATTGAGTGTAAGTGGTAGAGACTTTACTGTTTTTGTATTTTCATATCTAAACCTTGGCATGCTCATCTTTTGCCTCTGCAGTTTCTTTTAAGCTGTATGATCTGAAGCAACAAGGGTCTATAGAGCGACATGAGGTGAAGCAAATGGTGGTCGCCACACTAGCCGAATCTGGCATGAACCTTTCTGATCATGTGATTGAGAGCATCATAGACAAGGTGGGTTTAGTAAACGATCTTTACTGACACTGACTAGGCATTCTCATATTTATCTTTTGACATGACTGGTGTAGACATTTGAAGAAGCTGATACTAAACTGGACGGGAAGATTGATAAGGAAGAGTGGCGGAGTCTTGTATTGCGCCATCCCTCTCTGTTACAGAACATGAGCCTTCAACATCTTAAGTAAGTCATGTATTTGCCTTTTTATCTTCTTCAGGCGCAGGACTAATAGGTTTTTTGTATGTTTGTGTTTGTGTCTGTGTAGAGACGTAACAAAGACGTTTCCAAATTTTGTATTTCACACTATAGTGTCAGACACTCCTAGTGAGCTGGATAGATGATGACGGATGTGAAGAAAGACCAAAACCTTTAAAAGATTCATACTTGATCCTATCTTCTTCTCCATTAGTCTATTACAACCCACTCACTCTTTACTTTTTAACAAATACAAGAATACAAGATCATAAAGTTTTGACTTCACAGGTTTGTATCCGCAAACTTGTCTCTGTTGGAGTGTGCAAGTTGATACTTTTACTTGGCTTTGAGAGATTATGATATCCTTCTATGTATTTAAACACTTTTTTCTTACAATCGATTCACACCAATCTAATTGCACTTGAAAAAAACTTGTTTGGTATGGAATTTTTGTAAACACATACAAAGGGCATTATGATATAATGAAAACTACTTTTTCAGTTTCAATTTCCTTTCCTGCAAAAGGTCCTTAGCTCAAAGGAGACAGAAGCTGTGGAACCTTACCTTTCTTGGTAACATAACGATGAATCAGTCTTGCATCCATCTACCAGCAAAGAGAGTTTGATCTCTAAACCAAAGCCAACATGTTTTTTTTGTTTGGCCTACTTTGACCGGTTCAATTTGATTGGTTATTAACCGGTTAAGAACAAATATTCGTTTTCCCACCTGAACACATGCTTTCAAGTTCAAGCTAGATTAGATTCTGGAATTCTGTTAATTAATTTGATTCTGGAACACAATTTGATATGTTTTTTTGTTTTTTTTTTTTGTTTTTTTTTGTGTGTGTGTGTGTGTGTGTGAGAGAGGTGGATACGTGTTTTCCTAAATGGTTTCCCCAATTTTCCTTTTTTATTTTGTTTTCCTTTTTTCTTTTCATTTAATGTTTTCCAATTGTGTTTATATATATATGGCCTCAGACTGATTATATTACTAAACGATCAATCAATTCAGAAGAAGGAACGAGAGAGCTTGAAAAACAAGCAACTTGAGATTATTATTTCCTCAACTTCTCATCAAGGGGCTCACCTCTTTCGTCTTTGGTGTTGCCGCTTAAACTCGAAGATGGACATGATCAGTCAATGTTCAGAGGATTTGATCTTTAGAATACTGTCGCTTGTTACGACAAAAGACGTCCTGGCCATGAGCTGTGTGTCGAGGAGATGGCGGTCTCTTTGGAATCTAGTGTCAAGACTTGATTTTGATGACAGCAATCATGAGAATGACTATAAGCGCTTTACGCAGTTTGTTTACGAGACTTTGCGGTTGAACAAGGCCCCTTTTCTAGAGAAGTTGCATCTCAGCCTTGGTCCTAAGTGTGACGCCGTAGATGTTGGGATATGGATTGACACTGCGGTTTCTCACCGCCTGCGCGACCTCATTGTCCAAGTCAGGCCGGGGTCAGGTTCGGTCAGTTTGCCGGGTAGCCTATTCACATGTGAAACTCTAGAGACCCTGGTGCTTGCACGTTGCCGTGTTTCGGATGTTCCTTGTTTTCTCCCGTCCCTGTGGAAGATGAGCCTTAGGGATGTGGTTTACGCATCTCTTCCTAAGCTTTTATCCGGTTGTCCTAATCTCGAAGTACTTAAATTGGTGGTGGAAAGAGAAGAAGAAGAAGAAGAAGACCAGGGAGAGGTCGACGACATCACTGTGGCGGTGCCTTGTTTATGGTTACTGGAGTTTTGCGACGTAAGAAACGGAAGTAAGGGTGGCGTGCATGTGATAGAAGCTCCTCTACTCGAGTGCCTTAAAATTGTCGACGACGTTGTTTACGACTCCCGTAGAATCGAGAATATGCCTAATTTGATGGCCGCACATGTTGACATCACTCAAGGAGTTACCCACAGGTTTCTGAGAGCTCTTGCTTCTGCCACCCGCCTTTACCTTTGTGTATCACTACTTTCTGAGGTTCCTAGTATGAGCATCCACTTCTATCGGCTTGTTCATCTCGAGCTAAATACATGTGCGCAAGGTTGGTGGGAGCTTCTCTCACAGATGCTCCAAAGTTCCCCAAAGCTAGCATCTCTCAAACTCACGGATGAACATGAGCTTGAATTTCCTAGTGAAGAAACCCCGGATTGCTGGAAGCGGCCGAGTTCTGTTCCCAAAAATCTTGAAACTTTTGCGTGGAGCGGTTACAAAGGAAGACAAGGAGATATAGAGATGGCTACGTATGTCATCAATAATGCTACTCGTTTGAAGACAGCCACTTTCTCTCCTCAATGCATCGATTTTGAAGCCAAAGATAGGATGCTCAAGGACTTGGTGTCTGTATCTAGGCTTTCACTTTCGTGTCGGCTTCTCTTTGACTGAATGTTTTAGCCTAAGGAAGCGTTGTTAACTATTCATGTTTTTGCTCTGGAGTGGTGTTAGTTAATTAGATTAATATAAGAAGAATCGAGGAAGAAGACCCAAAAAGAAAAGAAAAGAAAGATGCATTCATGTTTGTAGTCTATAGTATGGTTTAACTCTTCTAGTTCAATTTGTAAAGTCCTTTTTTACTGAATTAAATGTATTACAAATTTTTCTAAGCAATAAGAAAATAATCCAGGAAAAAAGCTTATAAAAGTTACTTTGTGCTCAAAGAAAGTGTACTTTTTTGAAACCCTACCTTGCTTGGTAATATGAATCATTCAAGCAGCAGTGGCAGATTTTGATCTCCAAACCAAACCAAAGCCAACATTATGTTGTTTTTCCTGAACAATGTCAATTTGATTGGTACTTTGACCGGTTCAATCTGATTGGTCAATAACTGGTTTAGATCAAAATATTCCTACCTGTGAACACATGTTTTCAAGCTATATTAGATTCTGGAATTCTGTCAATTAATTTGGTATGTCTGTTTTTTTCTTTTATTTTCTGAAGTCTACGAGTCAACTAATATATTTGTTTTCTGACAAATGGAAGTTTTAGTCTTGGTTACTAGTTTGTAAAATAATAAAACATTTAGACCTGAATTAGTTCAAAATATATATTTTGGGTTGTAAGTTATTTTTCTATCTCTGGCATTGTCAGAAAATTCAAGTTGCATCATTCCACAGTTTCAACTTCTTAAACTTACTATGTTTTGCTCGGGTTAGATTTTGATGTTGACCGGATAGATTAAGTTGTGGTAAACCGGTGGGTGTTCGCTGCAAAACTTGACCTTTTTTTGTTGGATCTTTAGTGGACTACATTTTAGGCAGTTTAACCAATAGTGACTGCATGTGTATCGTACGATCAGAACAATCATCCCATACGACAAAATATAAATTACCATTCTAAAAACAGTCCGATAACAAGGACTAAAATTCAAGGCTTAAGTCAGGAGGTGATCTTAATGGTACACTATTATAGCAACCCTGAAACCATGGCTCGAGATTGGGATTCACTGATTCAAAAGAATGCGCCATCGATCCTTAGAAAAACAATCCTACTTTTAAATTCAGTGTGACAAGTTAAATTCTTTTGCTATGTACTATAATTCCATTTTCTAGTACAAATCATTCGTTTGTGTCGGAATATATTAGTTGTTTGGTATCGTGAGAATTGGTGAAATTGGTTACTTACTCCAAGTTGGTTCAGGTGAGTGAGGATTCTTCTTCTTGGTCGTCCCAATGATTGACTCTAAATATTTTTTTTAAAAAGAGCACAAGAAAAAAAAAAGGACAGTGGAGTTGGACTCTTGTTGGACTTTACGACTCCAGCTCGACTTGGCTCCCTCTCTCCTCTCTCTCTCTTTTGAGTAATCTTCACTTTTCCCAACTGCTTCCTCTCTCACGGATCTCTCTCCGTCTGCGTAAAGACAAAGATTCATCCTTCAAGCTCCCTCCCACTCAGATCTACTCTAAAATGTACTCTTCCCTTTTTTAGGTTTTCATCACAGTTACCCAAAAACCCCAATTTTTCCTCAGATGTTGTAGCGGACATTGTTTATAGATCTAACCAACAATGGAGAACAACAATCTTGGTCTTCGTTTTCGTAAGATACTTCGTCAGCCTGTTGCTCTCCCAAAGCTCGATCCTTTGGTAATGCCCTTTCTTAGTTTCCACTTTAATTTGCTTTTTTTTTTCTTTTCTTTTATGTTTCGTTTAACCTGATTTTATTTGTTTTCTCTTTTGTTTTAGCTTGATGAGAATCTGGAACAATGGCCGCATTTGAACCAATTGGTTCAATGCTATGGCACTGAATGGGTCAAGGATGTTAATAAATATGGACATTATGAAAATACTCGACCTGATACTTTCCAGAGTCAGATTTTTGAAGGACCTGACACTGATACTGAGACTGGTAAGGATGCATTTTTTCTTTTTGCGTTTGTCAATTTTTTTGTGCTTCGGTCAACTTATTTACTTTCTTCTTCTTCAGAAATTCGTCTTGCTAGTGCTAGGAGTGCAACTATTGAGGAGGATGTAGCTAGCATATCCGGGAGGCCTTTTTCTGAATCTGGATCCTCCAAGGTGTCTTCTTGTGCTCACTTTTATTGCTCTTTTCTATATATTTCTCCTCTTTTGTTTCTTACTTTGAATTGCATGCTTAATTTTGCAGCACTTTGGGCAACCTCCCCTCCCTGCTTATGAACCAGCTTTTGACTGGGAAAATGAAAGAGCTATGATATTTGGCCAAAGAACTCCTGAATCACCTGCCGCAAGCTATTACAGGTTTTTTGCATGTCATGTTACCTCATCTTTTTTCTATATGACTTATTATCTTTGTCTGATGTATTCTTCTGTTACCTCTACTAACTACACAGCGGATTGAAGATCTCGGTCAGAGTTTTGTCTCTAGCTTTTCAGTCTGGCTTAGTTGGTGAGAACACTAACTAACTGTTACTGGGAATGCTGTCTATTTCCTGTCAATTTAGTTAGTCTAACCTCTTTAAGTTCCCTTTTCCCGCCCTTCCCTGCAGAACCATTTTTTGGCTCAATTGCATTGTACAATCAAGAGAGGAAGGAGAAACTCTCTGAGGATTTTTATTTCCATATTTTGCCGACGGAAATGCAGGATGTAAGTCATTCTTCAGAAAAAACTGTCCCCATTTCAGCTATTCCCTTCTCATAGTTATATAAAAGTTGATTAACTTTTTTACCACTTCACTTTTTTTTTTGCGAAATTGCCAACCCTTGTACATTTTCTTGTAGGCTAAACTTTCTTCTGAAAATCGTGGAGTATTTTATCTAGATGCCCCATCAGCATCAGTTTGCCTGCTTATTCAATTAGAAAAAACAGCAACAGAGGAGGGAGGCGTTACAACATCTGTCTATTCCCGTAAAGAGCCTGTAATTTCCAAAATCCTGAATTTTCACTTACTGTCTCCAGAGTCTCTTGCTCATGTGAATGCCTTGGTCTTAGGGATTGTGGCTTTCAATTTATTTGGAGTAATTTGGAGATAGCCTGTGACTTATAATGGCATATATTAGCTGTCTTTACTGTGTGTTTTGATTATATATTTTAGAGTAGTTATAGTGATAGCTGGATCTTTATATCACCATCAGTAAGTACCCTGTTATTAGCAAGTTAGTAACTAAGTTCTCTGGCCATTTGTGAATCAGGTGCACTTAACTGAGAGAGAAAAGCAAAAGTTGCAGGTCTGGTCTCGCATTATGCCTTACCGAGAGTCTTTTGCTTGGGCAGTTGTTCCACTTTTTGATAATAATATTACCACAAACAGTGGTGAATCTGCTTCCCCTAGCAGTCCTCTTGCTCCCAGTATGACTGCGTCAAGTTCCCATGATGGTATTTTTGAACCCATTGCAAAGATCACATCAGATGGAAAGCAAGGTTATTCAGGTGGAAGTTCTGTCGTAGTTGAAATATCTAATTTAAACAAAGTTAAAGAGAGTTACTCTGAAGAGTCAATTCAGGTAAGATGTTTAATTTTCAAACCCCACACAGTTGTATCATGCTCTTTATGATTGTATCTACATTACTCTGAACTTGAGATAGTGTGGAATAGTTTGCATATGTTTTGTTCAATTTGAAAATCGTATTACGTCTGTTACTTGCTAGGTACAGTTTGGTTGTTTGACATGGATGTAACAAGTAGAGTTGCATGCACAGTCTCATTAACTACATGCTTTTGTATTTAAGCAGATAATTTTCTTTTTATTTCCTATTTGAATAAATCAATTTGGTAACATTTGACAATCAGGTCATGATATTTAATTCATAAATTTTGAAAAAGAGAAGTTCCTCAATTCTTTTCCCCATCTGAAGTGTAGTTAGTAACAAGTATATTTACTAAACACATCACAAGGAAACAAGATTTGTGAGCTGTCTCTTCTTTTACTGACATACAAAAATTTGATATCCAAATTGTATTTGGTAACTTCATCGTCATATAACAGGAATGTTTTTTTATTGATATAATAACATTATACTGCATATTACTGCTTTCATCTGGAGGAAACACATATCTAAAATCCCTCTAAACTGTCTTTATCAGTTGAACATACGGCATTTCTTAATGTCCTATTGTCTAATAATTTATTCTTTGGTTTTTACAGGACCCCAAACGAAAGGTTCACAAACCTGTTAAAGGGGTTCTAAGACTGGAAATTGAGAAACATCGGAATGGACCGGGAGACTTTGAAGATCTATCTGAGAATGGAAGTATCATAAATGACTCCCTTGATCCGACTGACCGCCTCAGTGACCTGACTCTTATGAAGTGTCCCAGTTCTGGTTCTGGTGGACCCCGTAGTGGCGGTTCGAAGTGGAATTCAGAGGATGCAAAGGATGTTTCGAGAAACCTAACAAGTTCAAGTGCGACTCCTGACTTAAATTGTTATCATGTAAGCACATCAGCTTTAATATTCTTTTTACTAATTCCTTGATCTACTGCTTATAGTTTTTCTTCTGTCATTAGCTCCCATCTCTTTTCATCAGCCTATTTTTCTTCGTGGTAGTCATCCTTGACCATCATTCTACTAATCTACTTTTGAGCTAGTTACATCCTGGTGGAGTTTCCTAACTACTTGTTCCATAACTTATCTCCAGAAATTAAGGACTCGCTTAGTATAAGATTTCTGTATCACGAGGACAAAAGTACTTTTTTCTTTTTTCTTACTCTAGTTAGAAGCTGAAAAACTGTGTATAGTCCTTTGTATAATTTACTCGCAAATTGATATGTTTTTTCGTCTTGGGTTCCAGGCTTTTGATTTCTGCTCTACAACAAGAAACGAGCCTTTTCTACATCTCTTCCATTGCCTTTATGTGTATCCTGTAGCTGTTACTTTAAGTCGGAAGAGGAATCCATTTATCCGTGTAGAATTGAGAAAGGATGACACAGATGTCCGAAAACAACCACTCGAGGTAGTTTTTTTTATCGTCA